ATTATACACTTGACCATGGCAAACTACCACCATCCTGGAAGGAAGCAGTAATAACAGTGATCCCTAAGGGGATTAACAAGGATACCTGCTCAGGCTACAGACCGATTTCTATACTTAATGTAGATTATAAATTATACACCTCAATTTTGAACAAGAGATTTGAACAATTTATGAACGACATCATAGATGAGGATCAAACGGGTTTTATTAAGGGGCGCCAAACCCATGACAATATAAGGAGAACCCTACATATTATTGAACACGTTAAGCAAAACAATACCAGTGCAGCCTTGATAAGTCTTGATGCAGAGAAGGCATTTGACTGTGTTAATTGGGCATTTCTATATCAGACACTTGAAAAATTTGGATTGAACAAGAAGGCTGTTCAATGTATTAAGACACTTTATCAAAAGCCGACTGCTAGGATAAAAATTAATGGGAGTCTAACTGAGAGTATACAGTTAGAAAGATCTACCAGACAAGGTTGCTGCCTATCACCAACACTGTTCGCATGTTTTATAGAGCCCCTGGCGCAAGCAATTAGGCAGAATACAGATTTGAGAGGGATAAGGGTTGGGGATGAAGACCACATCATTGGTCTTTTTGCTGATGATGTGATCTGCTATTTAGGAGACCCAGACGCATGCCTTCCAATATTAATTAATCAACTCGAGGCGTTCGGTGTCTATTCAGGTTATAAGTTAAACTTTGCCAAAACACAGATCTTAACATTGAACTATCTACCATCCAAAAATATACAACAAAAATACAATCTCAATTGGAATGCAAATACAATGAAATACCTTGGGGTTACCTTAACAAGAGGAATGGATGATCTATATGAGACCAACTATGTTAAAGTGGATAAATCCATTAGAAATGATGTAGAGAGGTGGAATGTCCTTTCTCTGGACTTTAGTTCCCGGATAGAGACTATAAAAATGAGCTTCCTCCCTCGACTCCTCTACCTCTTCCAATCACTCCCTATTGAGATACCGGAGAATCAATTTAGAACGTGGGATAAAGTTATCTCTAGGTTTATATGGAATGGTCAAAGGCCAAGAATCAAATATGAAACTTTACAGCTTGGAAAACATGAAGGAGGTATGGCGCTCCCAAATCTTAAGGAATATTTTCATGCAGCACAACTTAGACCTTTAGTCTGCTGGTGTGCTAAGGATTACGAGGCTAAATGGAAAAACCTAGAGCAGTATGTACAAGGGAGGGAAATTCAAAGTCTTATTGGGGATGAAGGGGAAGCTAAGGATTTATTTAAACAGATAGATGCTATCACCCAGTTTTCATTAAAATTGTGGTTCAGCATAATACGAAAATATAAATTAGAGGCCGATCTCCCTCTACTTAGATGGATAGCTTATGACAGACACTTCACCCCGAATACTCTTGACCAGAGATTCCAGCAATGGAGACTGAATGGAATAACAGCACTGTGTACAGTAATGAAGGACGGGAATTTTATGAGTTTTGAAGAGATGAAACAAAACTTTACATTATACAATCAGGATCATTTCAGATACTTACAATTAAGGGATTTTTATATGAAGGAAGTAAAACCAAAAGTAAATCTGGGGGAAAACGGTATAATTAGAACTATAATAGGAATATACAACTCAAGGAAATACAGAATAATATCTACATTATACCAGCAACTGATGGAGAGGAAGGGAAATACAACGTCATATGTCAAGCAGAAGTGGGAAAAAGAGCTAGGTATGAATATATCTGAAGAAGACTGGTTACATATATGGAATACACAACAATCTACCACATCGTCTCGTATATGGAGGGAATTCTGTTGGAAAAATGTAATACGATTTTTCATTACACCTAAAATTAAGAGCAAATTTTTGTCAGTACCACAACCATGTTGGAGACAGTGTGGAGCGGTAAATGTAAACCATTCACATGTCTTTTGGCTCTGTCCTGTTATTACACAGTTTTGGGAGGATGTCCACTTGGTTATTGTTGAAATCTTGGGTTATGATATACCCAAGTCATGTTCAGTGCTGTATTTTGGTAATATGGAAAGAAACATTGTGTCAAGAGAAGATCGATACCTGTTTAAAATTTTGTTAGCAGCATGTAAAAAGGCCATTACGAAAAGATGGTACAAGCCGGACCCCCCAACACGAGATGAATGGCTGAAACTAGTGTCTGAAATAAGTGTAATGGAATGGTTGACTCATAAGATAAGAGTTCAAGAGGATCAATGCGCAAATAATTGGGGAAAATGGACTGTATTTACATCCCAACGACAAGAAGAGGTCTGAAGTTGATGTATCTCATTCACTAAATTGTAATGTTTAGGTGATCCAGATTGTTCCCTTTTTTTTTTTTTTTTTTTTTTTTTTTTTTCGTTGGTTTGTGTTTGTTTGTTTTACTAATTATAATTTTTGTATATATGTGATGAAACTATAAAAAATAAAGTATAAAAAAAAAAAAAAAAAAAAGTTTCTGCAGTTTTAGACAAACGCCTTTCTCCTACACAATAACCACAATAATCGTGCATTTAATGATCATGCAATGAGTGTGCAATATGATGACCTTCACTGAATATACACTGATGTACAGTCTGCATTTCAGACACACCCTGATTGTAAACACTCCTGTGTAATGCAGTGCAGTGTGTGTGTGTGTGCCGCTGCTGCTCTCTGCAGGCCGTCACCTACATTACAACTCGTGTGGTCAGGACACATCTCTGCTGAACATCTGAGATGGACTGGTGTTTGCGTCGAGTATTAAGTCCTGTAATCGCTTTTTCATGATTGCATACACGTCTCACACACACACACACTTCACAACTGACCTGAGCCACAGATGTGTTGATATCAGTCACACCGAAGTATTCTTTGCAGGTTTGTTTATGTGTGTATTTCAGATGCGTTTACTTTAGAAGCAGTTGTTGATTGACAGGTGAGTAGGCCTGTCAATCATTGTTGTCCGAGTCAAACTTTTATGTAGTGCTTTTCACAGTACACAATAATTTCAAAGTAGCTTTACAGAAAATCATGATTTATAATAATGTTTTTAATCTCACATTTGGCAGAGCTGGGTGACACGAGTTCATATTTTATGATGATACAAGCAATTGAGTATACTGTATGTATGCTGAGAGTTGGACATACTTCTATATTCAATAATATATATATTATTCATATAAAAAGCTGTGCAATAAAAAAAAAACTAGCAGTTGAGATTGGTTATAGTATATATATTGCTTCAAGTGAGTATTGCAAGTAATAGTATGTGGATAAAGTTGAATACAACTTGTACTTAGTTATGCAATGCAATGATAATATAACTTTTATACAACAAGATTGAATGTTTATGTAAAATACAGTGAATTTTATATATATATATATATATATATATAAATAATAAATTAGCAGTGAGCTTTCATAGTATATTGATTACCGTTGCATGTAAAATGGTTTTAAATTAAGTAGTCCTATATTTATTAATATTGTGTAGTGATATACTATTCTAGCTTTAAATTTGATTTAAATTCAATTGTTTCTTAAATAAATAAATAAATAAAATCTGGTAGTTGAGATTTGTGATATATAATAACATACCGGTCAAAAGTTTGGAAACATTATTTTAATGTTTTTGAAAGAAGTCTCTTCTGATCATCAAGGCTGCATTTATTTGATCAAAAATACAGTAATATTGTGAAATATCATAATTTAAAACCGTTGTTTTCTATGTGAATATATAGTAAAGTGTAATTTATTCCTGTATTTAAAGCTGTATTTTCAGCATCATTACTCCAGTCTTCAGTGTCACATGATCCTTCAGAAATCACTCTAATATGAGGATTTGATGCTCAATTTTTTTTGTGATTATTATTACCGGTAGTTATTTTCAAGTTTAAAAAAAAAGAACCGCAAAATGTGAGTTTAGTAATTTTTCTTTATTTTTTTAAAGAAATTAATCGTTTTATTCAGCAAGTATGTGTTAAATTGATAAACAGTGATCGCAAACATTTCTATTTTAAATAAATGCTGTTTTTTAACTTTATACATCAATGAATCCTGAAAAAAGTATCATAGTTTCCACAAATATGACGCAGCACAACTGTTTTCAACACTGATAATAATCATAAATGTTTCTTGAGCATCAAATCATCATATTAGAGTGATTTCTGAAGGATCATGTGACACTGAAGACTGGAGTAATGATGCTGAAAATTCAGCTTTGATCACAGGAATAAATTACACTTTACTGTATATTCACATAGAAAAGTTATTTTATATTGTAGTAATAATTCACAATATTACTTTTTTTTTTTTTTTTTTAAATCAAACAAATGCAGCCTTGATGAGCAGAAGCATTAATGCTTCTTTCAAAAGCATTCAAAAATAGTAATGTTTCCAAACTTTTGACCGGGACTGTGTGTACCGTATATATTATCGTCCAGCTCTAATCTGCTAAATGCACGTTTCTGACTCGTTCCAAATATGATTTGAGCGATTTAATTATTTCAGACTCTATTTATACGTGTAAAACACCTGTAGACTGAATATTGTTGATCTGGTTTTCATATTTTGGTCTCCCAAATTTTCTGTGTGTGTATATATGTATACACACACACACTGTATCTTCCAGCTCTAATCTGCTAATCCATGTTTCTGACTCGCTCTGAATGATTTGAGTCACTGGATTATTTCAGACTCTATTTATACGTGTAAAACACCTGTAGACTGAATATTGTTGATCTGGTTTTCATATTTTGGTCTCCCAAATTTTCTGTGTGTATATATGTATACACACACACACACACACACACACACACACACACACACACACACACACACACACACACACTGTATCTTTCAGCTCTAATCTGCTAATCCATGTTTCTGACTCGCTCTGAATGATTTGAGTGACTGGATTATTTCATTTATACGTGTAACACACCGGTAGACTGAATCTGATTGATGTGGTTCTCATATCGATCTCCTCTTTGGTCTCCTCAGGTCATTATCGGGGTGACGGAGATGCTGCACAATGCGAGTCTGCTGATCGACGACATTGAAGACAGCTCGAAGCTGCGGCGCGGTTATCCGGTGGCCCACAGCATCTACGGCGTCCCGTCGGTCATCAACTCCGCCAACTACGTCTACTTCCTCGGCCTGGAGAAGGTGCTGATGCTGGAGCACCCCGAGGCGGTGCGAGTCTTCACCCGTCAGCTTCTGGAGCTTCACCGCGGACAGGGCCTGGACATCCACTGGCGGGACACCTACACCTGTCCCAGCGAGAGCGAGTACCGGGCCATGGTGCTCCAGAAGACCGGCGGGCTCTTCGGCCTCGCTGTGGGCCTCATGCAGCTCTTCTCCGGCTGGAAACATGATCTAAAGCCTCTTTTAGACACTTTAGGCCTTTACTTTCAGATACGGGACGACTACGCCAACCTGAATTCGCGAGAGTACACCGCCAACAAGAGCTTCTGTGAAGACCTGACGGAAGGGAAGTTCTCCTTCCCCACCATTCACGCCATCTGGTCCCGTCCCGAGAGCACGCAGGTGCAGAATATCCTGCGGCAGCGCACGGAGAACCTGGACATTAAACGCTACTGCGTCGACTACCTGGAGAAGGTGGGGTCGTTCGCGTACACGCGGCACACGCTGAGGGATCTGGAAGTGGAGGCGTATCGGCTCATCAAGGAGCTCGGAGGGAATCCAGAACTGGAGGCCTTGATGGAGCATCTGAGTCGCATGTATAAAGAGCCTGAGGGCGGGGCTTCTGCTGACCAATCAGAAGAGCCTGAGGGCGGGGCTTCTGCTGGCCAATTAAGAGCCTGAGGGCGGAGCTTCTGCTGGTCAATCAGAAGAGCCTGAGGGCGGGGCTTCTGCTGGCCAATAAAGAGCCTGAGGGCGGAGTTTCTGCTGGTCAATCAAAAGAACATGGGGCGGAGCTTCTGCTGGCCAATCAATAGAACTTGGGGCGGAGCTTCTGCTGGTCAATCAAAAGAACATGGGGGCGGAGCTTCTGCTGGCCAATCAGAATAACATGGGGCGGAGCTTCTGCTGGCCAATCAATAAAGCTTGGGGCGGAGCTTCTGTTGGCCAATCAAAATAAAATGGGGGCGGAGCTTCTGCTGGCCAATCAATAGAGCTTGGGGGTGGGGCTGCAGCCAGCCGAGCAAAACCCTGATTGGCATTAACCGCGTCTGAACACTGAACTGACTTCTCAAACTTTTTTTCTCCACAGCAAATTGCCTTCAGTCCAAAGTCTCTCATTCTGTCTCGTTTTTCAAGTTGTAACTGGAGTATGAAGTGTAAAAGACACTGTTCTGGCCTCTGAGACTTTACTGGAGGAGATGCTGCTCGTTTCAGTATGAGTGACAGCCGTTACAAACTGTCGGATGAAACGCATTTAACGCTTAAACAGTCACTTGTTCACCTCAAAATCAAAGTAAATGCATCGTTTTGCTTTAACAAAATTAAGCCAAGTTTATATGGATCTTTACCATTTAATCGTTTTTTTTGGCAGTGGCAATTATTTATGACAATAATATAATTTCAATAATACTTTTTTATTATTATTATTAGTATATTTAAACATATTTAAATGTCTGTTGTACTGCCTCTAATAGAATTTGTTTAAATCAGTAAATAATATTTAATTGTAATGGAATTAAAAAAATTGTGAACATAATTTGAGAATAATTGGAATGTCCAGATATATATAGACAGACACACACAGTGTATTTAAACTAATGTGTGTGTGTATATATATATATATATATGTGTAACATTTATTATTAATATTTTTATTATATTTTTGCTTATGATTTTGGGGTGAAATGTGACCTGGGCAATTTTTGTGAATTTTATTTGCCATTAAAATATTATTAAATAAGAGCCGATTGCCGTTCCCGAGTGCACAGAGCAAGACTCGTGTTGTTCCCTGTAGTTCTGCAGATGCTGATGCTGAAACTCGGCCTTACGGTCAGCTTTAACACTCCTGGAATCAAGTTCATGTCTTTCTACACTTTAGCAGCTTTTGGTTTTTGACTGATGTTGATGATGGTAAGAATTAAAGATGGATCCGTCACTTTTGGTGCTGGAATACCTCTGAAATCGTGAACTGGGATGATATCTCACAGTGTTTGGTGTATGAAAGGTCACTTGTTTTTACCTTTAAACAAATATGTGCACATTTGATCTCGTATAGCGGAGGTCAATGTTTTCAGGGAACACTTCTGTGAATAAACACTTTCATACACTACAGTCTTCCTCAAGTGTGTATTGAGCTGCTGTTTTTCTCATGAAGAGGAAACTAATGTACATTGCATGCATGAATAGATTTACTACTGTCATGTGATTTGAAGAATAATTGTCATGTGTTACTAGTCAGATATTTATTGTGGGTAAAACGTTGCAGTTCCTGATATGATGCTAATTTTGCCAGTCAGTCGCATTAATGTCATTGATCATTTCTTTCCTCTTATGAAATGACAGAACAGAATCTCAACACCTGGTGGCGCAATAGAGACACAAAAGCAACCGCTAGAATTACATAGAGCAGGGCAGTGAGTAGTGATTTCATAAATAAAAAAATGTAATGCAATAAAATACACATTTTATTAACCTCATTATGGTTCTTATGCCAGTTCTAATTTTGTGGTCCAACTTTGCTGTGCCATTTCAGCAGGATTCAGAAGTTGGTGTGGAATTACATAAACCTGAGAGAAACTGTAATGAAAACTATAACTTCAAATGGGAATGTGCTGAAAAATATTTAATGGTGTACTTAGTGTTAGAGGTTTGTTCAAGTGCTGAGCAAAATTAAAGTGTGTGTCGTCCTGCTGCATTTCTGCTCCATACTTGGTTTCTTAGGTTTCTTCTTTAAACCAGAATTGATCATAAATCATAAAAATGTAAACATCTAAAAGAGTGATTTTTTTTCCATTAAGGTGTGATATTTGCCCCCTAGTATTTACACAATTACAGCAGACAAAATGCAATAAGATTAATGTGTAAACCATTACAATTTTGAATATAGAAATATGTAATGGAAAAAATATTAAACTAAACCCGCCAGTAGATGGCGCTAAGTTGAGTCTTAATGAGGATTCATTTAATAACGAAACGCTTATCAGTTCGTTTATTTGTTGTTTTATTTAGTTATTTTGCCCAATAGTTTGAAAAAGAAACCGTAAAATAACAGCAAAACATTTACAAACAACATTTAACGGCGGCATGTGCCCATTAACCAACATAAGAGAATTGTGGACACGCAAATGTGTTTTAAATGATTAAAATAGTAACCTAATTTAAAATCGCTGGGGGACTGAAGTAAATAATTCAAGTGAAATCAGATGAAAAACCTGGAGAAGTTTGAGGAACCAGAATAAAAAAAATTAAAATATTTGGTGTTTCTGGCATGAAAACGAGGCTCTTCAACGTTGCAGTCGATGATTTAGCTGATTAAACACTGAAAATACCTCTTTCTCATAAATAAAATTAAAATTGACCTATTTAATAGAATATTTAATAGACTCCCTCACATGATTTTTTTTCTTTTTATTAAATAATAGGCTATAGCCTATGCCATTTAACTTGAGGTCTATTTTGGTGGAGAGTTCTGCCAAAAGTGCCAAATATAAGATTGATTATGATCTTTATGGATACATTATGGTGTATTTTAGCAGGAACGTCCATTTCCACATCAAAACTTATGATAGATAGCCTCTACATGTGCTCTCATGGTGTTGCTGCCTTTAATACGTGCTTTCAGAATTATCGTAAATATGAGTTTCCATGTTCCAATAAACCAGACTTTATTCGCCTGAATCGCCTCAATGGAAAGCATTTTACACTGTCTGAAACATCCCCTTATTATTGCACTGTGCCATTCACCATGTAGACAATAGTAGATGTGTAAAGAGTGACCGATTTCTGCCACAGCTTCAGCGTGTTTATAATTAGGGGGCGGAGTTTCAGATTATACAGAGCATAAATTTCATTTATCCATAAATAATCATTTATCCATAAATAATCATTTATCCATATTGGCGGAAGTGAGAGACTGCAAGTTTTGAATGCTTATCTTCTTGATGTCAATTTTGTCATTGTTTTGGAGCACACTAACTTAAAGATAATCGTAGACTAACATATTCATACTTAAAGCAAAAAATATATATATTTTGATTTCATGGGGACTTTAAACATGGCGGAGGGGAGAACGATTGCTTCTCCGACTACTATTCTTTATATTAGTTTTCTACAACAGCTACATCGCCTTGTTGTTAAAGTATTAGGCCTACATACTTATAGTTATGAATAATCATACGAAGCGTATGTTTTATACACAGCGAAAATAGCCTATATTAGACCTAAAATCGAGAATCGTCAGCAAGATGACTAGATCGCGTGGTGAATGTTTGGTTGTCAGTGAATGGGACGTTATCATTTGGTTTAAGATTGTAGATTTTCCTAATAAATAAGCGAGAATAAAACATGGTGTCCTCCATTATTCCTGTTCTTTCCGATAACAAAGTAAGTTAGGCTACTTTAATGCTCGTAGGCCTACTCGCGACTCCAGAAGTGAGAAGAATAATTTACTGACTTTGGAAGCGTTGATGAATGTTGAAAACTCACCTGAAAAACATCAGCAGCTTCTGCAAATCTGCACGAGTTCAGCCTCTCCTCATCTCCAACACACTCATTATGAATAAACACGACACATTAAAGTGAAAAACTAAACATTTCTCACGAAAAGCCCTGTGTTGGAGGGGTATGGTGTTGTGGTGTTGGTCAGAATCTAGACTCGTTACAGCTGTTCAGCTTGATGAGGTGATGATGATGATGATCAGGTAAAGTAAAAATGTATTTGTAATATTCCATAATCATCGAATTATAACAAATACAGGCTTGAAATATCACTTTGCATGTAATGAGTCTATATAATATATTAGTTTCACCTTTTAAGTTGAATTACTGAAATAATTGAACTTTTGCACGATATTCAAATTATTTGAGTTTCACGTGTAAAGCGGCAGACAAAGCACGCGCTTAGAATAAACAACGACCTCGCTAATAAAGTTATCTTTATAGTTCTTGCTGTGAACTTCTTTACATGCACAGCATACTACGTCAGAGGTGGAATAAATGCATTTACACAATAACAACTGTGTTGTGAATGTGTGTAAACAATTTGATATATTTTTGTAAATCCGTACTTCCCCTGGCAAAATGTGATGATATGAGTCTTTGTTTTGTTTATGTTAAACACCCGCAATGATGGAAACTGCACAATGTATTACTTTTACATTGGAGGTGAACGTTCTTGTAAACTGTGCAATTGTTGAATAAAAAAAAAAATAAAAAAAAAAAAATAAAAAAACAATAACAACTGTGTGATTTGATACTAGGGGCTGAGGTGGGTCTGAGCAGGCATAACTAATCTGGCTTTAGGCATCTTTACACAGCAAATGCAGCACAGAAACCAAATCTGAAGCGTCATAAAACCACGAAAATGCGTATTTACACAGGCTGTTTAATGCTGGTCTGAAGCTGCAGAAATGCATTTACACAGGAATTAAAAGTGTGGGAAACATACCTTTGAAAATAACTAAACTACAATTTTAAAATGAGTTTTAACAAAAACAAATGCTATAAAAATAACAAATAATATAAACATTATATAAGGCATTGCATATTTACACTGAATTAAAGCTTGCACAGAGCCGCCTAAATTTGGCTGTATAAAGATGCAGTTAAGGCTGATCTGTGCCCGCTCAAAATTCAGTGTAAAGATGCAAAAAGACCAAATTATGCCTGCTCAGACCCACCCCAGTCCCTATTATCAATATATACAGTTAAAATTACTGTGTGAATGCATTTATGCCACCTCTGAGCAGCATTCACAAGTCTGTGTAAAGACCTAAATGCCAGCTCAGAAGCGTTTCTGTGCCACATTTGCAGTGTAAATTTGCCACAAGTTAAAGGTATTGTAGGCAGGAATTTTACAAAAAAAACTCTTTTCCAAATTTGTTTAAACTTTCTGTATATATCAATGCATAATTAAAATGTAAGTACTCTGAAAAAGAGTATAAAAATCGAATGTCTGTAGTCCTCTCACGACTGTTTTAAAGGGGTCATATAATGGTACATGCACTTTTACAAGTTGATTGTACTGAAATGTGTGTTGGCAGTGTCTGTACACAACCATCATATAATGATAAAAATCCATCCAGTGTTTTTGTTTTAATCTCCTTATATGTTTTCCCCTGCCTCAAATCGAGCCGTTCGACCGTGTGACGTCACACGCTCGGAAGCCCCTCCCACGATTGTTGATTGACAGGAGCGTTTCAACACAGACCCGCCCTCGCTCGTGAGAGCTGTTAATCATAGTCTGCGCGGACCGGCGCGGTCATTGTTGATGTGCTGGAGCACTGTCTATGAGCAGAATGGCGTCTGAGCGATTGTGGTGTTCTGTTCTTGGGTGTAATAACGAACACAGTCATTTTAATGTTCCTAAATCCGAACCGCTGAAGACGCAGTGGCTGAGTTTGTTTTCGAAGGGAATATTCCCCACGAGCAACGTCAATGCTCTCATGTTTGCGCGAATCATTTCTCAGCAGACTGCTTTATAAACGAGGGTCAGTATAAAGCTGGTTTTGCTAAGCAGCTGCTCCTGAAAAAAGATCGGTACCAGCTATTCGTGTTCCTGCTGAACCTCTAGAACAACTGAAGTGAGTGTAACGTTTTATTAAACTTTATATTAATATTTATATTAATCCTTGTAAATCGCTAGCTGCACGCTTCACGATGAATGCGTCTAAGGTTTACACTCAGGGTACATTACGGCATGTTTTCTATGTATGACGTTCTCAATATAATGCATAATCCCACGTTTATACTGAACAACGTGTTATGGTTATTGTGTTACAAACGGTGTACGCAAGAGCCGGCTCTGGTGTACACAGAACAGAGAGGCGGAGTCAGCAAAGCTCGATCATTTAAAGTCATATGCACTGAAACGGCGTGCTGAAAACAGAGCTGTTTTTGACCAGGTAAAATAAGTGTTTTCATACAATACTAATGAGAATTTTTAATTAAAGTATATTACAAACTTTTAATTTAGACCCTAAAGAATCATATTAGCTTGTACAAAAATGGCATTATATGACCCCTTTAAAGACAGCTCATTATTTTCATTCACTCCACCCCCTCCCTTCTGGGCTCCTTCCAAATCCACGCCCCAAAAACACATGAACTCGCGACTCCGACCGCTGAGCTGAAGACGCATTATTTACCTGAGACGAGCGGAGAGGAAGGAGCGCAGTGCATGTAGTGACATCATGTCAGAATCACATGTAATAAAAAAAATCTAACTTTATCATTGTATTTTTGTACTCACTATCAAGCTAGCATATTGATATCGGTAAAGTTTAAAATATATATTTATTGATTCGCTAACGAGCTAGTTATCTATAAGGCAAAGCTAAAAACAGGTTGCATGATACACGTTTTTCCATTGCCATCATTTACTCTGTGATTAAGATGAATTTCGTGTAACATTCATAACATATATGGTGTTCTGCATGTAAGAGTTTCCATGATGAAAGCATTGTTGACTCTGATGAGGACTACACTCCAGAGACAAGTACTGCATCGTCAGCTCGAGGACAGATAAATCATTGTTTATCCAAAGACTTTTTGTTCATTACCTTTTCTAGTAACGTTACTCTCTTCCTTTTTTTGGCTGGTTTGCCTTCGCGAACTGCATATGTGAATTTTGATTGGTCTTTCTCTGCCATTGTTTTGCTATTCCTAGGTTCCGTGCCTCTTGAATTCCTCAAATCAAACGGGTACGCGCAAGTGGGCAGGTCCTGTGTGGCAAAAGGGTGGTTGCCATGGTTGCGAGAGAGTGACAGTCGCCTAAGCCAATCCTTTGTTTCGTCCCGGATGGAAATAATGAGCTGTGTTTAGTGCAGATTAAACGGTCTAGAGTCACTCGATTTTTATACTCTTTTTATCAGAGTACTTACATTTTAATTATGCATTGATATATATAGAAAGTTTAAAAAAATTTGGAAAAAAGTTTTTTATAAAATCTCTACCTACAATACCTTTAAGGCAGCTCTCTGTGCCTGCTCAAAATTCAATGTAGAGTTACAATGCAGCATAAAACCAGACTAAATTATGCATGCTCTGACCTGTCTCAGACCCTATAGGGTCTGAGACGGGATTATGCTTTTCTTACTTAGTATTTTTGTCTTGTTTCCAGTCCAAATATCTAAAAATTCTTAAATCAAGATGCATATGAGTAAAATACCATAAGATTTTATGTCTTGTTTTCTTAACCCATTTGCAGATAATTTTGCTTTTTAAAGCAACAAATCTCTTAATTTTGATTTACATCCCAGAAAACAAGACATAATATAAAATACTAAGTAAGAAAAGCATTTTTGCAGTGTAGGATCAAACTTTACCATTGTAATTGCTGTGTAAATGCATTTATGCCACTTCTAAGATGCATTTAAAGGTGTGTAAAGACACCTAAACGCCAGCTCTGAAGTGCTTCTGTGCCACATTTGCAGTGTAAATTTGGCAAAAATATTATAAGAACGTTCTATAAATTTTATTTAGAGAGCAGTTATCTTAATAAACAAACTTTACAGAGGAGTGAAAGTTCCCCGGCGGTACCGCGGTGCGGCCTACATCCGACATACTTGAACCTTCAAACGCCTTAAGTATTAAAACTTCATCAGACTTCCTCTTCTAGTCCTTCATTTTATATTTAAAATACTTTCGATGCATTTTTACATGTTAAATTGTTAAAACATGCCAGGATTGGTTTGGATTGAATATGGGATGATATAATTTTGACTCCAGATGGTGGCATTAAACTGAAATGATCTGTGTTGTCAAACCAGCTCAGAATAGTTTCTGCACAATCTCTGTTCGTTCACTAAAAGCACTGAGAAGAACATGCGGAAACAGAAGAATGATTCACTCAGGCTGAGTCCTCGTGTATTTTGAGGCGATGTACTTTACAGGGGATTGAGGGAATGCCTTAAAAGGGCCTTCACTTGGAAAAGGAGATATAAAAAACATTCAGCCATATCTCATTTCAGTTATAATTTTTGACACTATGTGGAGAGAAGCGATGAGCAAGTAAGGCATCAAGAGGTAGAAAATACCAGCATGAACTCTGAGCTCACTGCTGATGTGTCTGTGTTTGAGGTAAATCTGGATGCAGTGACGCATTAAATGTGAAACAAACCACATTACAGCATTCGATTTGAGCTCTGTAACCTCAGATTAACAGTGATTTCTAAAAGCTTGCTCTAAAACATGGTCACCAGCGACTTTTTAATATCCAAGAATCTTCCTGAAAAAGCTAGCTAAGGATAGTTCAACTGTTGACACGAGATATTTTGAACAATATGTGTTGATGGGCACCACTGACTTCCATGGTGTGGAAAAAAAATTCTATGGAAGTCAATGGGGTCCAACTGTGGTTACTGACATTCTTCAAAATATTATCTTTTGTGTTCAGCTGAGGAAAGAAACGCATATAGGTTTGGAACAATTTGAGGATGAGAAAATGATGACAGAATTTTAATTTTTGGGGGAACTATTCCTTTAAGCAAGACACTACGGGCAAATACATAGTTTGTAGAGTTTTTTTTGTGTGCGATTGTTAATTTTGGCCTATTTTATTATTGGACTTTAAAAGATATGGATTGAATTTAAAATCTCGCAAATATATAAAGGCTGTGAGTTTGAGTCAGAAACTTACAATTTTCACATTTGTATTCTGAAGGTTTGTTCATATATCATTCACCTGATTCATAGAACATTTTATTCCTAAAACATGGTGAAAATATTACTTTTGGCTGTTGACAGTATGTTCTGATTTATGGAATGATTAATAGAGAAATCTCAATAAACTCAACAAAATCAAAGAAGTTTGATTGAAGAATTTTAAAGCTCGCTTGATCCAGTGTTCAGATTTCTGTTCAGGAAATGCATGAAAATGAGTGCATGGTTTATTACATAATGCATCATTTTTACATATTTAACATAACATTTCAGAAAACTTGTAATATGCAATTCTTAACGCAAAGTATGGAGATATCCATTTGTTAATTCTTACCCTAATCACCTGTAATGTCTTGCCTTGAGAAGCTGCTCTACGCTGATTCCTCATCACACAAACAGACACATTTACAACCTGTTGCACTGTTTTTATTGTTCATAAATGAACATTTCAATGTAACAATTTTGGCGTCCAGCTCAGCTAAAAGCAGTGAAAAGGGTTTGCGTGTTTGGTGATTGAGAACTCGCAGCAATAGTGACAGAAAGACACGTGACAAGATAAAGAACAGGAAAGCTGCCCTGACGATTCACAAACCCTGGAGTTTTGTCTCGTCTTCTGGTGGATCCTCAAAGCCAGCCTGTGACCAACAACAGAAAAGGACAAGTGAACATTATTAAGAGAAGAGAAGAGAAGAGTGTGAGACATCAGAGTTCAGGCACATCCGCAGGGATCGCCACACTTCCTCTTCCGTTCCCAAAGCGAGCGCAGCTCCTGAGCCGAATGCTGCGGGGACGACAACATGTCCACGAAACACTCCTTCTCACACAGCCAGCCTGAATCCTGCCACACACACACGACACGGAACAACACACACATTAGAACCCGTTAGAATCCTATGACACTCCGGCAGAAACATCAATGTCATGGTTTGATTCCCACACTGTAAAAAGTGATGAATAAAGTGATGGATAAAGGCATCTGGCAAATGCAGTTTCATTCGATGCATTATTAAAGGTCATTATGCACTGCATTAAAGGTCTATATTAGATCAGTTCATGCATTAACACTGTAAAAAGTGTTCAGTTCACTTAAAAAAAATTTGTAAAACCGTTGCCTAAAAAACGTAACGCTTAATTGAAAAAAATTAAGTTATATGAGCTTGACAATTCCACATTACTTAATTTTTTCGATCAAGCATGAAGTTTATTTACTTAAAAAAATTGAGGAAACCCATTGCCTTAAAATTATTAAGTTAAGTCAGTTTTAATTGATTTAATTTGATTTAACTTAAAAAAATTGAGGAAACCCGTTGCCTTAAAATTATTAAGTAAATAAACTTCATGCTTAATCGAAAAAATTAAGTAATGTGGAATTGTCAAGCTCATATAACTTAATTTTTTTCAATTAAGCATTAAGTTTATTTACTTAATTTTAAGGCAATGGGTTTACAATAAATTTTTTTTTAAGTGAACTGAACACTTTTTACAGTGTGCCGTTAATGCATGAACTGATCAAATATAGACCTTTAATGCAGTGCATAATGACCTTTAATAATGCATCGAATGAAACTGCATTTTTCAGATGCCTTTATCCACTTATTCATATGAGCTGCAAAAATACAAGAATGACGAAACGCGTAATGCTGCAGAAATCAACATGTGACCGCCGGCAGTGTGACTGTGTGCAGCGGGACACTAAACCTCCACATCAACAAGAGCTGTGTGTTCAGGCTCGATAAATGCAGAATTTAGTCATATATGGTAGTTTATATATATATATTTCAGTTTTAAAGTACTTAAAATGCATGATTGTGTTTACAATCAATACTGGCAAAGAATTACACATGAAATAAAATACAATATTACAATAACAAATAACAGTAAGGACTAAGATAAATAATAATTATATATATATATATATTCTCTTTCATTAAAAAAAAAATATATATACACAGTATATAGTGTATTTTATATTTATATAATTGATTATATATAAAATCAAGGCAATAGTTGGTTCTTGAAATGATAATAATATATCTATATATACTCTCTCATTATATACATATATTAATGTTTATTTTAGATCATATGTATATTATCATATACACTCACCGGCCACTTTATTAGGTACACCTGTCCAACTGCTCGTTAACACTTAATTTCTAAGCAGCCAATCACATGGCGGCAACTCAGTGCATTTAGGCATGTAGACATGGTCAAGACAATCTCCTGCAGTTCAAACCAAGCATCAGAATGGGGAAGAAAGTTGATTTGAGTGACTTTGAACGTGGCATGATTGTTGGTTCCAGAAGGGCTGGTCTGAGTATTTCAGAAACTGCTAATCTACTGGGATTTTCACGCACAACCATCTCTAGGGTTTACAGAGAATGGTCCGAAAAAGAAAAAACATCCAGTGAGCGGCAGTTCTGTGGGCGGAAATGCCTTGTTGATGCCAGAGGTCAGAGAAGAATGGCCAGACTGGTTCGAGCTGATAGAAGGGCAACAGTGACTGAAATAACCACTCGTTACAACCGAGGTATGCAGCAAAGCATTTGTGAAGCCACAACACGCACAACCTTGAGGCGGATGGGCTACAACAGCAGAAGACTCCACCGGGTACCACTCATCTCCACTACAAATAGGAAAAAGAGGCTACAATTTGCAAGAGCTCACCAAAATTGAACAGTTGAAGACTGGAAAAATGTTGCCTGGTCTGATGAGTCTCGATTTCTGTTGAGACATTCAGATGTTAGAGTCAGAATTTGGCGTAAACAGAATGAGAACATGGAACCATCATGCCTTGTTACCACTGTGCAGGCTGGTGGTGGTGGTGTAATGGTGTGGGGGATGTTTTCCTGGCACACTTTAGGCCCCTTAGTGCCAATTGGGCATCGTTTAAATGCCACGGCCTACCTGAGCATTGTTTCTGACCATGTCCATCCCTTTATGGCCACCATGTACCCATCCTCTGATGGCTACTTCCACCATGTCACAAAGCTCTAATCATTTCAAATTGGTTTCCTGAACATGACAATGAGTTCACTGTACTAAAATGGCCTCCACAGTCACCAGATCTCAACCCAATAGAGCATCTTTGGGATGTGGTGGAACGGGAGATTCGCATCATGGATGTGCAGCCGACAAATCTGCGGCAACTGTGTGATGCCATCATGTCAATATGGACCAAACTCCCTGAGGAATGCTTCCAGCACCTTGTTGAATCTATGCCACGAAGAATTGAGGCAGTTCTGAAGGCAAAAGGGGGTCCAACCCGTTACTAGCATGGGGTACCTAATAAAGTGGCCGGTGAGTGTATATACATAAAGGCAGTAGTTGGTTCCTGAAGGTGTGCAGCGGAAAAATAAATTTAATAATTTTGAAATAATAATAAATTATATATATATATATATATTTATACACACACACATACACACACACACACACACACAATCTAATAATATACATCTATTAACGTTAATTTTAGATCACATATAGATTATTATGTGTGTATATATATATATTTTTTAATATATTTTTGAACCACAACCAGTTCAAAAACCCCTTATGATGCACAATAAAACAAGGACTGTGACGTCGCCCGGTATGGCGCAGCCGGGGCCCCACCCTGGAGCCAGGCCCGGGGTTGGGGCTCGTATGCGAGCGCCTGGTGGCCGGGCCTCTCCCCACGGGGTCCGGCCGGGCTCAGCCCGAAGGAGCGACGTGGGACCGCCTTCCAGTGGGCTCACCACCTGCAGGAAGAGCCGTAAGGGGCCGGTGCAGAGAGGATCGGGCGGCAGTCGAAGGCGGGGGCCTCGACGACCCGATCCCTGGACACGGAAACTAGCCTTAGGGACGTGGAACATCACCTCGCTGGCGGGGAAGGAGCCTGAGATCGTGCGTGAGGTTGAGAGGTTCCGACTAGAGATAGTCGGGATCACCTCTACGCATGGCTTGGGCTCTGGAACCACACTCCTTGAGAGAGGATGGACTCTTCACCACTCTGGAGTTGCCCATGGTGAGAGGCGACGGGCTGGTGTGGGTTTGCTTATAGCCCCCCAGCTCAGCCGCCATGTGCTGGAGTTTACCCCGGTGAACGAGAGGGTCGTTTCCCTGCGCCTACGGGTCGGGGATAGGTCTCTCACTGTCGTGTGTGCCTACGGGCCGAACGGCAGTGCAGAGTACCCGGCCTTCTTGGGGTCTCTGGGAGGAGTGCTGGAAAGTGCTCCGACGGGGGACTCCGTCGTTCTACTGGGGGACTTCAACGCTCACGTGGGCAGCGACAGTGACACCTGGAGGGGCGTGATTGGGAGGAACGGCCCCCCCGACCTGAACCCGAGCGGTTTTCAGTTATTGGACTTCTGTGCTAGTTACAGTTTGTCCATAACGAACACCATGTTCAAGCATAAGGGTGTCCATCAGTGCACGTGGCACCAGGACACCCTAGGTCGTAGGTCGATGATCGACTTTGTGGTCGTTTCATCTGACCTGCGGCCGTATGTCTTGGACACTCGGGTGAAGAGAGGGGCGGAGCTGTCAACTGATCACCACCTGGTGGTGAGTTGGATCCGATGGCGGGGGAGGAAGCTGGACAGACACGGCAGACCCAAGCGTACTGTAAGGGTTTGCTGGGAACGTTTGGCCGAATCTCCTGTCAGAGAGATCTTCAACTCCCACCTCCGGCAGAGCCACGACCGGATCCCGAGGGAGGCTGGAGATATTGAGTCTGAGTGGACCATGTTCTCCGCCTCCATTGTCGAAGCGGCGGCTCGGAGCTGTGGCCGTAAGGTCTCCGGTGCCTGTCGAGGCGGCAATCCCCGAACCCGGTGGTGGACACCGGAAGTAAAGGATGCCGTCAAGCTGAAGAAGGAGTCCTATCGGGCCTGGTTGGCTTGTGGGACTCCTGAGGCAGCTGACAGGTACCGGCAGGCCAAGCGGACTGCAGCCCGGGTGGTTGTGGAGGCAAAAACTCGGGCCTGGGAGGAGTTCGGTGAGGCCATGGAGAAGGACTATCGGCTGGCCTCGAAGAGATTCTGGCAAACTGTCCGGCGCCTCAGGAGAGGGAAACAGTGCCCTACCAACGCTGTTTACAGTGGAGGTGGGCAGCTGTTGACCTCAACTGGGGATGTCGTCGGACGGTGGAAGGAATACTTCGAGGATCTCCTCAATCCCGCCGTCACGTCTTCTATTGAGGAAGCAGAGGCTGGGGGCTCAGAGGTGGACTCGTTCATCACCCTAGCTGAGGTCACCGAGGTAGTCAAGAAACTCCTCGGTGGCAAGGCACCGGGGGTGGATGAGATCCGCCCTGAGTACCTCAAGTCTCTGGATGTTGTGGGGCTGTCTTGGCTGACACGCCTCTGCAGCATCGCGTGGCGGTCGGGGACAGTGCCTCTGGGATGGCAGACCGGGGTGGTGGTCCCTCTTTTTAAGAAGGGGGACCGGAGGGTGTGTTCCAACTACAGGGGGATCACACTTCTCAGCCTCCCTGGGAAAGTCTATGCCAGGGTACTGGAGAGGAGAATACGGCCGATAGTGGAACCTCGGATTCAGGAGGAACAGTGCGGTTTTCGTCCAGGCCGTGGAACACTGGACCAGCTCTATACCCTCTACAGGGTGCTGGAGGGTTCATGGGAGTTTGCCCAACCAGTCCACATGTGCTTTGTGGATTTGGAGAAGGCATTCGACTGTGTCCCCCGAGGCGGCCTGTGGAGGGTGCTCCGGGAGTATGGGGTCCCGGGTCCTTTGCTAAGGGCTGTCCGGTCCCTGTATGACCGAAACAGGAGCTTGGTTCGCATTGCCGGTAGTAAGTCAGACTTCTTCCCGGTGCATGTTGGACTCCGGCAGGGCTGCCCTTTGTCGCCGGTTCTGTTCATAATTTTTATGGACAGAATTTCTAGGCGCAGCCAGGGGCCGGAGGGTGTCAGGTTGGGGGACCACGCGATTTCGTCTCTGCTCTTTGCGGATGATGTTGTCGTGTTGGCCCCCTCACACCAGGACCTTCAGCGTGCACTGGGACGGTTTGCAGCCGAGTGTGAAGCGGCTGGGATGAGAATCAGCGCCTCCAAATCCGAGGCCATGGTCCTCAGTCGGAAAAGGGCGGCTTGCTCACTTCAGGTTGGTGGAGAGATCCTTCCTCAAGTGGAGGAGTTTAAGTATCTTGGGGTTTTGTTCACGAGTGAGGGAAGGATGGAACGGGAGATTGACAGACGGATCGGTGCAGCTTCTGCAGTAATGCGGTCGATGTACCGGTCTGTTGTGGTGAAGAAAGAGCTGAGCCGTAAGGCAAAGCTCTCGATTTACCGGTCAATCTACGTTCCTACTCTCACCTATGGTCATGAGCTTTGGGTCATGACCGAAAGGACAAGATCCCGGATACAGGCGGCCGAAATGAGCTTTCTCCGCAGGGTGGCTGGGCGATCCCTTAGAGATAGGGTGAGAAGCTCGGTCACTCGGGAGGAGCTCAGAGTAGAGCCGCTGCTCCTCCACATCGAGAGGGGTCAGCTGAGGTGGCTCGGGCATCTGTTTCGGATGCCTCCTGGACGCCTTTCCGGGGAGGTGTTCTGGGCACGTCCCACTGGGAGGAGACCCCGGGGAAGACCTAGGACACGCTGGAGAGACTATGTCTCCCGGCTGGCCTGGGAACGCCTCGGTGTCCCCCCGGAAGAGCTGGAGGAAGTGTCCAGGGAGAGGGAAGTCTGGGCATCTCTGCTTAGACTGCTGCCCCCGCGACCCGGCCCCGGATAAGCGGAAGAAGATGGATGGATGGATGGATATATATTATTGATATATTAAGGCAGTAGTTGTTTTCTGAAGGTGTGCAGCTGTAAAATGAATGTCTTTTTCACCTGATATTTGCGAGGTCCCACCGCAGCCATCCAAATGCCCATGCTCACATCTTCTCCCTGTGAAATCATGCATTTACATGCAGAAAACATTGTAAATATCTACTGTATACATCATCTAAATGAATTTAGCAGCATTTCTCTTGGTTCAGTGGCTCTGTAACAGTGAGAAACCGATTAGAGACTCAGGGTCCAGAACAAATGTGTGATATCTAGAGCGAATGAAATCGGTACAGACACATCTGATTCTGCAAGCATTGATTTCGAGAGAGCTTCGCTTATGAACAGGCTGCTAATGGTGTCACGCATGTCTTTGTCATCATGGATTTCTGTTTATAGGGATCTTTATCATGATATAGTTGCATGCTGGGTAATTCTAAAAAGTAATCCCTTTGTATTTTGAAGAAGGTCATGAAAACACATCATCCTCTAGTATGAGACGGCACCTGGTACGCTTTCAGATGCTGTGCGTTGCTGGCCAGCCACTCCACCAGATCCCGGGACGCCACATATCCGGATCCGCAGGCGAAGGCCGGATACGCAGGACTCGCATACTCCAGTTCCTGCCACTTACCCACTCGATCCACAGCCCAATTCTGCCGGAAACTGAAGAACACGGTCCACAACACAACTTAGTAATATCTCACACTCACTCACACACACACACATGCGCACGCACACACGAACACTGACACAACTCAGTAATATCTCACACTCACACACACGCGCACGCACACACACACAACTCAGTAATATCTCACACTCACTCACACACACACACACACACACAACTCAGTAATATCTCACACTCACTCACACACACACTGACACAACTCAGTAATATCTCACACTCACTCACACACGCGTGCACACTGACACAACTCAATATCTCACACACACTCACGCGCGCGCACAGCTCAGTAATATCTCACACTCACACACACACGCACACTGACACAACTCAGTAATATCTCACACTCACTCACACACACACGCGCACGCACACACGAACACTGACACAACTCAGTAATATCTCACACTCACACACACGCGCGCGCACACACACACAACTCAGTAATATCTCACACTCACTCACACACACACACACACACACACACAGACACAACTCAGTAATATCTCACACTCACTCACACACACGCGCGCGCGCACACACACACTGACACAACTCAGTAATATCTCACACTCACTCACACACGCGTGCACACTGACACAACTCAATATCTCACACTCACTCACGCGCGCACAGCTCAGTAATATCTCACACTCACTCACACACACACGCACACTGACACAACTCAGTAATAACTCACACTCACTCACACACACACACATGCACACTGACACAACTCAGTAATATCTCACACTCACTCACACACACACGCACACTGACACAACTCAATAATATCTCACACACACAGTAATATCTCTCTCTCACACACACAGTAATATCTCTCTCTCACACACAGTAATATCTCTCTCACACACACACACACAGTAATATCTCACACACACACAGATCTTTTGTAACATTATACATGTCTTTACTGTCACTTTTGATCAATTTAATGCATCCTTGCTGAATAAAAGTATTAATTATTAACGTAATTAATAAATATACACTGCCGTTCAAAAGTTTGGGATCAGTAAAATTTTGAATGTTTTTAAAAAGAAGTCTCTTCTGCCCACCAAGGCTGCATTTATTTGATTAAAAAAACAAAAAAACAGCAATATTGTTCAATATTATGACAAATTAAAATAGCTGTTTTCTGTGTGAATATACAGTAAAGTGTAATTTATTCCTGTGATCAAAGCTGAATTTTCAGCATCATTACTCCAGTCTTCAGTGTCACATGATCCTTCAGAAATCACTCTAATATGATGATCTGATGCTCAAGAAACAGTTATGATTATTATCAATGTTGAAAACAGTTTCTTTGATGAATAGAAAGTTATATTTCATTTATTTAGTACATTATAAATGTATTTACTGTAACTTTTGATCAATATAATTGATCCTTGCTGAATAACAGTATTGATTTTTTTTATCCCCCTCCAAAAAAAAAAATCTTAGTGACTCCAAACTTTTGAACGGTAGTGTGTAATGTTATAAAAGCTTTCTATTTCAGATAAATGCTGTTCTTTTGAACCCTCCATTCATCAAAGAATCCTGATTTCTAATTTTATATCAATCTTTTAAGACTAATCTATAACTCTAACCTGACTCATTCTGCTCTCTATAAAGTCTTTGCATAACATCTATTCTAATGAATTATGTTGAATCTGATTTGCGAAGAGAAAGTGTTCGGCTCACTCACTTGCCCCACCACAGGCTGGTGTGTGTGATGGTGTGTGTGAGGCGCTCCGTCTTCAGCAGGACGGCGTCCACGTCGATATAACAATCATCATCAGTCTTGAGAAGCAGCTTGAAGTCAGCGTTTCCCACCGACCTGTGCGAGCGGGAATTACACACTTAATGAAAACCCCTGAACTCTGCAGATCTGCTTTACTGGAGAAGACTCACAATACAAGACGACAGCCAGAAAACCCGAGGATGTCAGTTACCATAATAACCTATTACTGACTGACTGATAAACACAAGGAAAATCCAGCGTTTAATGTTGTTTATGTGTCTATGTGGTGTTTTTAATATGCTTAAATTCATAAGTCGAGTATTTTCTGCTTAAAACGGCAGTGAACCAAAGACAGTCTCAAAAACACGGTTTGAAATCGCTGGTGTTTCTGACGTCACAAACAACCTTGTAACCAATCAGATCAACGTGTGATCGTCAACCAGTGGATCTCTGAGCTGAGTGAGTGAGTGAGTGGAGGCGGGGCTCATTTGCATATTCATAGAACCGCATATACTAAATGAGGCAAGGGTGTCGAGTTACATACATTCAAGATATTTTAAGCCATAAAGACATTTAATTTTGGAGGAATAAACGCTTATATGTCATTTTGGTGATCAAATATGAGTTTTAACCCTTTAGGCGCCAGAGGTTTTTTCCTAAAACGTTCGATTTTGACATCTTAAATTCAAAAGGCTATATCTTAAAAGTGATAAAAGATAGAGACTTTCTGTAAATTAGAGAAATATTAAGGATGACCTAAAGTTTATGCAGGGATTACATTTTCCCATCTAATTAGCATATTATGACGTCATATGGTGGCGGCAATCTTGGATTATAGAATTTTCATGAAAAGTCACGTTTAAATGATAAAATGCAGCACTTCTTTCCCCCCAAAATGTCCATCACCTTCTGTATGCTATATTGCACAATACTAAATGCTCAGGTATATAGTAAGTAGTAAACAAACTGTGTAAATCATTACTAATAAATGGTAGAAACAAACCGAATGCATGTAGCGGTTGGCCTTTTGCTGTAGAGATTTTCCATTTACTAAATACAGTAGGCACTCTGATTCCATGTATGGGGCACATATATATTATTCATATGACATACAAACACAAGTAGACAAGACCTGTTTAGTTCAAACGCTCACTCGCACAGATCATGAGTGAGATGATACGAGCAGCGCGGCCAGATCGAGTGTGCACAGCTCGGACTACTGTCATTGTCATTGCGACTCCTCACCCTGCCTCCACGTCGCCCCCTAACTGTCCTATGGATACCTCGACCTCGTCTAACATACCCAGTGGTATTAGACAAAGTCTCCACCACAATACTGTCGCCGCGATTGCGGAGAGGCTCTGATAACATGGCTCACTCGCACACTAGCTCCGCTTTTGATCACACTGATTCAATGTGCTCTAACTCGAACATTTTGTATAGAAGCATGATGTTTTTTTGAGTCGGGGATGAAGTATGACATGTCTGCCATCCAGTGGAGGGGAGGTCGAACGAAATTTTACACCCAATTTGACAAAATCGGCCGTTTTATTCAGTGCCGCATCTTGTCGAGTAAACTCGACCGTGGCGCCTAGAGGGTTAAGGGATAAAATGATTGACTACAGGTGGACTTACTATAATTTCGGGCAAATATGCAAATCTATACCTGGAGAGCGAGGTCTGGGAGGTGATTGGGTAATGCACTAACCACTTATAAAACTGCAGCAGTTTTAAAGGCACGTTCCTGTAGGTGTCCACCACGTCCACGAACACCATGTCTCCGTGTCTGAGGCTCTCGTCCCGCAGGGCTTCGTCCTCGTGTTTCAGCTGATCCACTCGACTCCGCTGCCGTCCCGCTCGCCCACGCAACAGCTCAGACAACACCTCCACATCTGAAAAATGTTATTACGGTATTTAAAAAAAAATCAGTTTCCACAAAAATATGAAGCAGCACAACAGTTTTCAACATTGATAATAATCATAAATGTTTCTTGAGCGTCAAATCATATTATAATGATTTCTGAAGGATCATGTGACACTGAAGACTGGAGTAATGATGCTGAAAATTCAGCTTTGATCACAGGAATAAATTACACTTTACTATATATTCACATAGAAAAGGTTTATTTTAAATTGTAATAATATTTCAAATTTTTTACTGTATTTTTGATCAAATAAATGCAGAATTGATGAGACTTCTTTCGATAATCTTACCGAAGCTGCTAAAGTTCTCCTACATCCCAATCCATTCAGTGATTGATCATGAAAGCACAAGGCTGAATGACACCAAACACAAACACTACATAATTCTCCTCAACGTACCGTACACTGAAAACATGAATCCTCCAGCCAGACCCGGGAAGCCCAGAGCGCTCCTGTGAGGCAACGTGCCATCTTCAACCTGAGGAAACACAACATAACCTCATCCTGATGGGAAGAAAACTCTGGGATTGAAGGATGGACTCGTGCCACATCTACAAAACCTCCTGATCTGAGCCAATAAAACCCTCCGGAACCGCTCTGCATTTCAGTGACAAGTTTTTGGACTGCAAAAAATGCTTTTCTTACTTAGTATTTTTGTCTGGTTTCCAGTCCAAATATCAAAAAAGTCTTAAATCAGGATGCATTTACTTAAGTAGTAAAATGCCATAAGATATTACCGGTGTGTCTTGTTTTCTGGGGAAATAAATAAAAACTAGGTGAGTTTTTGCTTAAAACAAGCAAAATTATCTGCCAATGGAGTAAGAAAAATAATCTTACTCCATTGGCAGATAATTTAGCTTGTTTTAAGCAACAACTCACTTAAAGGGATAGTTCACTTTGAAATAAATTTTTGGTGTGTTTTAGCTTACCTCAAGGGCATCCAAGATGTAGGTGTCTTTGTTTCCGCAGTAGTTTCAATTTTGATATTTTTAGGTCAAACCGTTCTTGTCTGTCAGTCATATAATGCAGGTCTATGGTCACCACCTCAAAGAGCATGCACAGAGAAGTCCAGATTAAACATGAGTTAATGACTCGTAAATGTAAGTACACATTGATGGCCTAAGACACGAAACGAGCGGTTTGTGTGAGAAAACGAACAGTATTTATATCGTTTTTACCTCTTGTAAACACAGCCACGTCCAAGTGATCTGAGGGCGCCGGCGCTTCGGTCTGCGCAAGCGCTGGAAGGGATCTCTTCAGAAGAAAAAATAAATAAAAATAATTCAACGTTGTCTGTTGATATATCGAAATCGTCTTACATTGCGATTTCCTGTATATCTAAATATGTTTAGATCTTCACAGTGAAAGGTAACACTTCCGAAATCTCTGTGTAAACAATGAGTGACGTACACGCGCGAGAGATCACTTGCAGCGCTTGCGCAGACCGAAGCGCCGGCGCCCTCAGATCACTTGGACGTGGCTGTGTTTACAAGAGGTAAAAACGATATAAATACTGTTCGTTTTCTCACACAAACCGCTCGTTTCGTGTCTTAGGCCATCAATGTGTACTTACATTTACGAGTCATTAAATCATGTTTAATTTGGACTTCTCTGTGCATGCTCTTTGAGGTGGTGACCATAGACCTGCATTATATGACTGACAGACAAGAACGGTTTGACCTAAAAATATCAAAATTGAAACTACAGCGGAAACAATCACACCTACATCTTGGATGCCCTTGAGGTACGCTAAAACATATCAAAAATTAATTTCAAAGTGAACTATCCCTTTAATTTGGATTAAATCCCCCAGAAAACAAGACATAATATCTTATGGTATTTTACTCATCTAGTAAATGCATCTTAATTTAAGAATCTTTTGATATTTGGACTGGAAACAAGACAAAAATACTAAGTAAGAAAAGCATTTTTGCAGTGCACGTTCTACTATAATACATTCAAATGAAAGAAGCTGTTGCTCTCACAGATCCAAACTTGAGAACGCCTCCGCCGTTATTCAGACGAACCGCTGAAGTGTTGACAGACATCAGACCGGACGAATCCTGAGCTTCCCACAGGAGCGTTCCCTCAAAACCCTGCAGATGAAGACCAGAGACACTGACACCAGAAGAGAGCCAATCCACTGATGCCTCAAAGTATATCTAATAAGTGATTATAATCAAGGTATTAATCAATATTTCTGCTTCGAAATATCAAATGAGTTGAATGACTTCTCAGAGTCATTCTCAAACTCTTGTTTATGAGATTTTACTTCGTTATAGAAGTTCCCAGTGCAGGGTGTCTACAGATACAAACCAGTTCAATTCAAGACTTTTTAAGATCTTTTTAATGCCACTTTGAATGAAATTTAAGACCAAACCTGTGATGGAAATACACATTATATTACATACGTATATGTAATATTTAACCTAAGTAATTGAAGTAATTTAATATCAACTACTTGTTTATTGAACTAAAATCAATGTTACATTTGCAGTCGTGAGAATATTCAGCAAAATAGCTCCCGTCATGTTATGTTACTTAACTATGTCATATGTTATAAACTCAACATTCATACCTCAGTATGTTACTTCTGTGAGTTTTCTTATGTGTGCTGTTATGCTCGTTTGTTTTGATTTCTAACTATAAAATCTCACAGAGAAAGGCGGTGCGAGTCTCAAAAGCGTTACCAGAAATACATTATCATTATCAATCACTGTTTATGTAATAAAATCAGAATCATTCAGGCGTTTCGATGCTTCGCTGGTTATCTGATGGACATTGGGTCCGTCAGACTGGAGTAATTTTAGCGGTAATGTGACCAGAAATATTGAAGACCCATCGAATCTGAATTTAAGACATTTTAATACTTTTAAAGGCCTTTTACTTTAAGACATTTTAAGACTATTTAATTACCCGCGGCCACCCTGCAGTGTGATCATAATGGTAAACGTAAAAAATAATAGACTTGACGGCAGAGAAACAAAGTGACACATTGGCTAAGTCACTATCCAAATTGAGATCCCTCACTTTTATGAAAGGCTGTTGGACGAACACAAGAGTGAATATAACTTATTTATAAATCGGTTAGTTCCAATCCTTGATTCTGATTGGTCAATAGCTGTGCTTTATTCACGATAAAACACGGCTATGACCGCTTCACCCAACGGTTCTATGTATCACTACACAACACCCCTAGCAACCACTCTTAGCAACTTAAACAGATGTTTCATCTCATTGATATTGTTCATTTAAAGCTAGAGCAGAGCATTGTGAGAGATCGAGTAAGCGAGTGTACCTGCATTTACAGTAGACGTAGCATTTTCCTTCAGGTCAGTCCTATATTCATAATAAAAAAATGCGTTTGAATGTCCGCTGCATATTTTGTCCTTTTAACAGTCATGGGGTTTTCCGTGCATAACGTTAGTCATCTGTCAGTTGCGTCTGTCTTCTCCGTGATCACAAGTTCGAGTCCTTTCAAAAGCCTTCTCTACAGACTCACTCACTCACTCACTCATAAAGACAGTCTTTGCCGCCATCTATTGGCGAAATAATATATGTAACTTCTGTTGCTGTTCACGTTCCGGGACTATTTTTTCCAGCGGAAGGCAGGCTTTTAGTGATTTTACTTCATGAAAGTTGCATAGATACATATTTTTCGGCTTTAATATTTTTATTGTGTGGCAACCGTTTTATAAAAGCAATAAGGTACTCGAGGCAAGTGCTGTATCGTGAATAAGTAACGGCTGAAGGGGTTGCAGGCACTCCGCTTCGCGTCGTGCCTAACAACGCCCTCCAGCCGTTACTTATTCACGATACAGCACAGCCTCTCGTACCTTATTGCTTACATAAAAAGGGTGCAAGTGCTGTGATCTTTGCAACTGTAACAGAGCGGCCTACGAACTCCTCGTGAGTCTTAAAGCCGACTTCTGCTGATGAAACTGCAAACTATCTTCAGTAAAAATTCTCTTCAATTTATTATAATTCTGACTCTCGTCTTAAACTGACTGCACTTCTAACGCCTGGGCCCGTATTCATAATCATAAAGATTCTAAGAATCCTCTCAGAAAACTCTTAATTTAGCTTAAAAACTTTTACGTAGGAGTCTTCGCTTAAGAGCGATTCGGGACCGATCTGAGAGCAACTCTGAGTAAGGAAAAGACAAAAACGTGCATCTTAGTGAGGAGGCGGGGCTGACCCCGTTGCTATGTGTGACACAATCTTTTGAAGACTGTGATTGGTTGGTTGTCCAAGAAGGAAAAAAAAGAGTGATTTTAAGTATAGGGTCTATTCTAAGCCTTCACTTTGAAATTACATGCGTAATTTTTCCTATTTGACCGTTCTCACACACACACACACACACACACACACACACACACACACACACACACACACACACACACACACACACATTATATATGTGTATATAAATCCTTTTTATTTTATTTACCATGCTGTTCATTTCCTATAAGGTGTTTGATTGGCTTAGAATGATAAAAATTGTTCCACTCTTTCCAATTACACCGATTGCTGGCATGTCTATTTAAGCGGTGGTTTGAATGTTGGTTTTAATGTAACAAACATGGAATCAAAACCTAGAAGGACGAGAAAGCCCGACTGGACAGAGGAACAGTGTTTACTGTTAGCCCAGTTAGTGGATGAACACAAGGCCATCCTTAAAGGAACATTCAGGCTGGGTGTCGATCTATAGCGTCTTATTAACTCACTGTCATCCATGGTCTGCAACACATTTCTTCTCCCTCTTCGTCGTTCTGTCATTTTCTCCTCTGCTAAAGAAACTCTTAAGCCTCTTAAAAGTCCTCGTCCGTACTCCTAACAATTTTGACCTTAAGACCTCTTTTAAGGGTTAAGATGCTTTCTGAATTACTTTTTTCTTTACTAGGATTTTTTCTTTAATTTTAAGAGTAAACGCCCACATTTCTAAGACTTTTCTTAGAATTGTGTCTCTAGGAGCGACTCTTTGCATTAAGATTCTTTACGAATACGGGTCCTGAATTTTTGTGCAAAAAGTGGCTCCTAGCGGCCAAATTCTAAGAAAATTCTCAGAGTCATGACGTTTTCTTAGAATTTCCCCTAAAAGTGACACGAAAATCCCAGTTAATATAAAAGCTATTCCTCAAGATTCTTAGCGCTTAAAGGGGCTCCTAAGGCGAGATCTGCTAAGAGCAGGGAAGAGGACTTTTAGTGGCTTAGGAGTTCAAGGAGTTGTAGGATATTTGTTAACAAGCCTTCATAAATAGACCAGCCAGCAATCACAGACATTGATAAAAGCTGAGCCGTGTTACCCTCGTTAAGACCACACTGAGTTGTAACGTTGCAATTTCTACTTCATTAAGGACAGCCCCTTGAGATAGGCCATCTTGTTTTCAATGGGGTCCATATGGGAGTGAAAGTACAAAATATGCCGGCTAGGATATTAATATGAGCAAATAAGACACGAATCATTATTTGAACAGGGTGTAATGAGCTTAAGTTTTCACATATTTTAGATTCTAATGTTAGGCTATAACCCCTACAGCTTACTATTCATTTTCCAGATATTTTCTTGAATGTGAAATATTATTTACAATTACAGTCTGCATAAGATTAGAGTGTATAATTATGTTTATTGATTTGAGGGTACATCCTTTGCTCATTATCACCAAAAGTTCATTTTCATCAAACTTGTAGGATCAACCAATCACGGCTTTTGAAATGATGACTCATACCTAGCAACGGGGTCAACCACACCTCCTCACTAAGATAGGATTTTCCATCCATTCCTTGCTCAGAGTTCACTGAAAATGTTCTGGAATCACTTCTAAGCTAAAACTCCTGGCAAGGAATTTTTAGGTTAAGTTAGGAGCTCTCTGAGAGGATTCTCAGAATCTTTAGGGATACGGGCCCTGGTCTTTTTGAATCATCATATCTTTAACGGTAGATTCCCTAACAGATCATTCACAGAAAACACTTTCTCTAGCACGAGTTACATTATCAGCTTCTCAAGCACTACTTTATGTGTTTCCAAGGACCACAATCAGAGATCTCACTTATCAAACAATATCTTCATTATCTTTCAAATTCTAAATAAGATATATAGATAAATAACAATTAACTAATAAAACTAAATGGTACAAATAAAGTGAAGCACATGCAAAGTATTCAATGACTGTGGCAACTTTAATTATTGGGAAACATTAACAAAGCTCTGGAATTGAAAGTGCACTGAGAAAAATGCTTTTCTTACTTAATATTTTTGTCTTGTTTCCAGTCCACATATCAAAAAAGTCTTAAATCAAGATGCATTTACTAAAGTAGGAAAATGCCATAGGATATTATGATTTCTGGGGATATAAATAAAAATTAAGTGAGTTTTTGCTTAAAACAAGCAAAATTATCTGCCAATGGGGTTAGAAAAATAATCCTGTTTCTGTTTGAATTAAGATTATTTTTCTTACCGCATTGGCAGATAATTTAGCTTGTTTTAAGCAATAACTCACTTCATTTTGAGTAATTCCCCCGGAAAACAAGACATAATATCTTATGTCATCTTACTCATCTAGTAAATGCATCCTGATTTAAGAATCTTTAGATATTTGGACTAGAAACAAGACAAAAATACTGAGTAAGAAAAGCATTTTTGCAGTGTGCCTAGAAAAGCAAATGTAAAGAGAGCCATTAACTCATCAGAATTCAGAAATGCTTGATTCTGATTGGTCAGTAACACTCTGAGGTCACAGAATCACTGTATAATGATGCTCATGAATGTATTTGAGACACTTCTTTAATGTAATCGCTGTGTAATGTACATCCTGTCCATTGATACAAGCTATTATTTTGATGGATGTACATTATATATATATACTCACCGGCCACTTTATTAGGTACCCCATGCTAGTAACGGGTTGGACCCCCTTTTGCCTTCAGAACTGCCTCAATTCTTCGTGGCATAGATTCAACAAGGTGCTGGAAGCATTCCTCAGGGAGTTTGGTCCATATTGACATGATGGCATCACACAGTTGCCGCAGATTTGTCGGCTGCACATCCATGATGCGAATCTCCCGTTCCACCACATCCCAAAGATGCTCTATTGGGTTGAGATCTGGTGACTGTGGAGGCCATTTTAGTACAGTGAACTCAATGTCATGTTCAAGAAACCAATTTGAAATGATTAGAGCTTTGTGACATGGTGGAAGTAGCCATCAGAGGATGGGTACATGGTGGCCATAAAGGGATGGACATGGTCAGAAACAATGCTCAGGTAGGCCGTGGCATTTAAACGATGCCCAATTGGCACTAAGGGGCCTAAAGTGTGCCAGGAAAACATCCCCCACACCATTACACCACCACCACCAGCCTGCACAGTGGTAACAAGGCATTATGGTTCCATGTTCTCATTCTGTTTACGCCAAATTCTGACTCTAACATCTGAATGTCTCAACAGAAATCGAGACTCATCAGACCAGGCAACATTTTTCCAGTCTTCAACTGTTCAATTTTGGTGAGCTCTTGCAAATTGTAGCCTCTTTTTCCTATTTGTAGTGGAGATGAGTGGTACCCGGTGGAGTCTTCTGCTGTTGTAGCCCATCCGCCTCAAGGTTGTGCGTGTTGTGGCTTCACAAATGCTTTGCTGCATACCTCGGTTGTAACGAGTGGTTATTTCAGTCACTGTTGCCCTTCTATCAGCTCGAACCAGTCTGGCCATTCTCCTCTGACCTCTGGCATCAACAAGGCATTTCCGCCCACAGAACTGCCGCTCACTGGATGTTTTTTCTTTTTCGGACCATTCTCTGTAAACCCTAGAGATGGTTGTGCGTGAAAATCCCAGTAGATTAGCAGTTTCTGAAATACTCAGACCAGCCCTTCTGGCACCAACAATCATGCCACGTTCAAAGTCACTCAAATCAACTTTCTTCCCCATACTGATGCTCGGTTTGAACTGCAGGAGATTGTCTTGACCATGTCTACATGCCTAAATGCACTGAGTTGCCGCCATGTGATTGGCTGCTTAGAAATTAAGTGTTAACAAGCAGTTGGACAGGTGTACCTAATAAAGTGGCCGGTGAGTGTATATATATATATTTTAAACAGGAAATGTCCCATTGAGACACAGTCTCTTTTACAAGGGAGTCCTGTATAAAATCATCATTATCCATAACTGAGACATTAAAGTAGGTGTTTTTCTACCGATTCCGGTGTGAATGATGACTGAACGTGTCACCTTGGGTAGAATGAACTGCTCCACGGGCTTGTAAAACATCCCACCCACACGTGATCCTGGACTTAGTGTGCTGAAGCGAGCGCTCACCACCGCCTCCTGCATACGCACACACACACACACACACACAAAGAAAAAACAGAGCATATTTGCACAGCTGAAAGGGCAACACTCTCTGAATAAACTGACACACACGAGTCAACATGTGATTTCTGCTGCTCATCTCCATCTGTCTCCAGACGACACGTCTCACAGCCTCTTCCTCTTTCCTGGTGCGACTGGCACATCATCGTATCACACGTTATGCATTCAGTGTGAAAGCCCATGGCGGTGACAACATTAAGATTATAATGGCAGGCTTTTTGTCTTAAGGCTATTTTAAATGCACATAAATAATACTTTTAAACTTTTGCATAATTTAACTGATACAAAAAAAAGTTTTTAGATAAACAAACAAACATGTACGTCATATATATATTTTATTTTATTTAAGATGATCATGTTACATTAAAAAAAAAATATATACTTTTATGATCGATGTTCATATTTAACATTTTTCATATGTTCATATTTTGTCATTGCCATCACATCACATATGAATTTAGAAATTATGCAGCAATAATGACATTTTAGGACTTAATTGTCTAGTTAAGGCTATTTTATATATCCTTAAATGCATGCAAATAACCCTTTTACATAATTGATTATGATAACTGATCAGAAAGAAACTCTGATTTTTAGCATAATAAATAAAAATTATCATTATCAAAAATTATAAATTATAATTGAAGCTGTGAATTATAAGATGTGTGTATATATATATATACACACACGTGGAAATCTTGAAATGTTAGTCTTACTCTTTATTTTTTAATCAAGATTATGATGTTTTAAAATATAATAATATTATCATGATAGGTTTTCATATTTTAAGAGTGAACATCTGGGTCTTGGATGAAAGTTAAAAAAAAAAACAATAAAATAAAATAAAAAGCATTTTGCAAGCAGAAATTGCCCAAATGATAAAAGGCATGATAAAAAAAGTTTTACTGTGACCTTCCTATAACAAACAAATTTAAAGATTGAAATCTCTTAGTTTTATTTAAAATAAACCCCTGGACATAAAAATGTTAATAGTTGAAAAACCCACAACTCAGTTTGAATTGAATTTCTCAGTACGCAAACTCAAACCATTATTATATGACCAGTATAATTATATCAAATATAACCATCAATATTGAGGGACTATAATCCATTAGTGCAGCTGCTGTATTTATAATCTCTCAATGTCATCGTTTGATCCAACAACAGCAAAGAGGAGCCGTGATTTATAAGGTTTATTACTAATACCACAGTTAAACTGTAATTGCCAAGAAAGGCCAAGAACAAACCAATGACTTTAAAAAACTGGAAATGTATGAATAATTCAAAACAAGCTGTAATCATTTTTAATGGGACCACATTATTGGACGTATTGGTAAAACACACTTCTAATACGACTGTTGAATCCTGTCCTTTCATCATCCGTGTTCTCACATCAGCGGCTCTCCTGTGTTAGTCTGTTGACTTCGACAAAGCGTGGAAATGTATTAAATTGTGGAATTATTTCATCACGCAGATCCGTCGACCTCTCGCTCGTCCGACGCGAGATCAGAGAGACTTCACAATCAAAGCGTCCAATTCCAGTCGCGCTGATAGAGAAGACTTTATTGAATTTGCTCCTCACGCATTTATCTCTCCAGCTTGTCGGAATGAACGATACGTCTTTTGACTTCTGCTGCACGGCACATCTCGAGCACATTTATCAAATAAATGAGTAATGTCTAGAGGGGAATGATGAAAACTCACCTTAAAAAGCCAGCAGGATATTTTCGGTTCCTCCAGTGGCAAGAACTAATTGAGTGACTTTACAAAGTGCAATCCGAGTTTCTAAAAGAGTTTAATGCTAGATGACTGTTCTATGCATATTTTACAGCAACTGGTGGACCGAGACGCAAAAATGGGTCACAGGGCTATTCTGATTTGTACAATGATATTGCGTCCCAGTTGAGAAGCAGTGCTACGTCTACATTAATCTGGATACGTTTGAAAACGGCGTTTCGTTTAAAAACGCTCTCCGTCCACACTCGCGTTTTCAGGCCAAAACGCCTGAAAACGCTAAATTCACCTTCACTGCGCATGCATAAAACCCCACAAAAATAAATAATAAAGTTATTGCGCAATTCTTCTGGCAGGATAATTTTATTTATCAGAATATCTCCGCATCTGAAGCGTTCGGGTCGCACTCACTCACCATGTTTGGTCTAAAACGCTAAAACTGCTCATGTTTTACCACAGGACAGCAAACATGAGTGAGTTTTCTGTCATCTGTGCAGGACTGTGATGTGAAGAGTGTGTGAAGTTACATATTTTAGCAACTGTGTGAAAGTCAACAGCACATAACAGGCACAATACCAGTATAAACATCAATATCTATTAGTACAACATGCGTCACATGACTAAACTTACGTCATCGTTTTTAAATACCTCCGCTTTGACAGGCCACACTACAACACAAAAACGGCATTTTCAGATGTATCCACATTGGAGAGCGTTTTCAAAAAGCTTCGTTTTCATTAATAAAAACCTAATCTCAGTGTGGACGGACGGAAGGCCGAAACAGAGAGAAAAAGAGGCGCTTTCAAACGAAAAGTCGAGTTTACGAGTCGTGCTTACAAGGTGGGAAGTCGAGTTTACGAGGTGGGAAGTCGTGTTTACGAGGTGGGAAGTCGAGTTTACGAGGTGGGAAGTCGTGTTCACAAGTTGGGAAGTCGTGTTTGCGAGGTGGGAAGTCGTGTTTGCGAGGTGGGAAGTCGTGTTTGCGAGGTGGGAAGTCGTGTTTGCGAGGTGGGAAGTCGTGTTTGCGAGGTGGGAAGTCGAGTTTACGAGGTGGGAAGTCGTGTTCACAAGTTGGGAAGTCGTGTTTGCGAGGTGGGAAGTCGTGTTTGCGAGGTGGGAAGTCGAGTTTACGAGGTGGGAAGTCGTGTTTACGAGGTGGGAAGTCGAGTTTACGAGGTGGGAAGTCGTGTTCACAAGTTGGGAAGTCGTGTTTGCGAGGTGGGAAGTCGTGTTTGCGAGGTGGGAAGTCGTGTTTGCGAGGTGGGAAGTCGTGTTAACGAGGTGGGAAGTCGTGTTTGCGAGGTGGGAAGTCGTGTTTGCGAGGTGGGAAGTCGTGTTTGCGAGGTGGGAAGTCGAGTTTACGAGGTGGGAAGTCGTGTTCACAAGTTGGGAAGTCGTGTTTGCGAGGTGGGAAGTCGTGTTTGCGAGGTGGGAAGTCGTGTTCACAAGTTGGGAAGTCGTGTTCACAAGTTGGGAAGTCGTGTTTGCGAGGTGGGAAGTCGAGTTTACGAGGTGGGAAGTCGTGTTCACAAGTTGGGAAGTCGTGTTTGCGAGGTGGGAAGTCGTGTTTGCGAGGTGGGAAGTCGTGTTTACGAGGTGGGAAGTCGTGTTTGCGAGGTGGGAAGTCGTGTTTACGAGGTGGGAAGTCGTGTTTGCGAGGTGGGAAGTCGTGTTTACGAGGTGGGAAGTCGTGTTTGCGAGGTGGGAAGTCGTGTTTACGAGGTGGGAAGTCGTGTTTGCGAGGTGGGAAGTCGAGTTTACGAGGTGGGAAGTCGAGTTTACGAGGTGGGAAGTCGAGTTTACGAGGTGGGAAGTCGAGTTTACGAGGTGGGAAGTCGTGTTCACAAGTTGGGAAGTCGTGTTCACAAGTTGGGAAGTCGTGTTTGTGAGGTGGGAAGTCGAGTTTACGAGGTGGGAAGTCGAGTTTACGAGGTGGGAAGTCGAGTTTACGAGGTGGGAAGTCGAGTTTACGAGGTGGGAAGTCGTGTTCACAAGTTGGGAAGTCGTGTTCACAAGTTGGGAAGTCGTGTTTGTGAGGTGGGAAGTCGAGTTTACGAGGTGGGAAGTCGTGTTCACAAGTTGGGAAGTCGTGTTTGCGAGGTGGGAAGTCGTGTTTGCGAGGTGGGAAGTCGTGTTTACGAGGTGGGAAGTCGTGTTTACGAGGTGGGAAGTCGAGGTTACGAGGTGGGAAGTCGAGGTTACGAGGTGGGAAGTCGTGTTTACGAGGTGGGAAGTCGAGGTTACGAGGTGGGAAGTCGAGGTTACGAGGTGGGAAGTCGTGTTTACGAGGTGGGAAGTCGTGTTTACGAGGTGGGAAGTCGTGTTTACGAGGTGGGAAGTCGAGGTTACGAGGTGGGAAGTCGTGTTTACGAGGTGGGAAGTCGTGTTTACGAGGTGGGAAGTCGTGTTTATGAGCGTTCAACTCACTTTCGCCAGAGTGAGATGGCGCTGTACTTTCTCTTAATTAATTACACAAAAATACAGCAAGGTTCTTAAACTCTAGTTCTAGAAAATGAAGAACAAAAAAATGTGCATCATGTGTGCTTTGCTTTATGTTTTTAAATAATTTATGAAGCCCCTGCAAACTTTATCGTTACATATTACATTGTTATATTATAATAATGCTATCATATTCTGTGCAGGCAATTAGCTTACTGCGCTGTAAATAAAAAAGCCTGATAATATCACTGCTAAATACCTGTAAGTATTGTGGTATCCCGCCATGTTTCGCACACAACTCGTGAAGATCAGGGCTTAAAGAAAATCACAAACTTCCCACTGGTATTTACGACATCGTGGTGGCGTTCATGTGCGCTCAACTCGTAAACACGATCTATACGAGATAACTTGAACGCAGCGTTATATTCAGGTGACACTGACTGTGCTCGTACCTCTTGGTCCACCTGGAGCAGCCGGACGGTGACGTTCCCGGTGAACTCGTGTCTCGGGCCGTTGGGAAAGACGCCCAGCTGAGTGATGACCACCGAGTGAAGGACCTTGAAGTCCAGACTGAGCGCAGAGACGTCACACGGCACCAGCGCTGAGCCCTCAGGGACACTCAAGATGGACATCTCCTCATCCGACACTGAAAACACATCAGCTGAATCAGTCGAGGGTGAAACGCCTGGAATTACTTCAGCAGGAAATTATCGACTCCTTAGAAAAATTAAATCATTGATAATAATACAAATAATATTAATAGTATGATGGTTTTATTTGATAATCAATGGATATATTTTTAGTACAATACTATAATTGTTATCTTTATTAAATAATGATTTTAATTAAAATATAATTTAATAATAATAATAATAACTTATTATTCAATTACATTTTAATTTTACTAATTTCTCTAAAAGTAATAATAGTACTATTATTCATTTATATTTGTATTTAAATGTTACTATTATTAATATTGATGTTTTTGTTATTAATATTAATAATAATAAATTGTATTAATTTAGCTGTTAATAATAATTATTGTTATTATTAATTATAATAAAATTCATTTAAATTAAAATATAAAATATTAATAGTAATAATAATTTATATATTATAAAATTAAATAATTTCTCTATTAATAGCAATATTATAATTAGCATTATTATTTTTGTTGGTAGTAACAACAACGATAATAATAATAAAATATATAATAATTATTTAAATTAAAATATACCGGTAATTAATAATATTTATTACTTTTAATTATTATTTCTTTTCATTTATTATTATGGTTCATATTTGTATTAGTTCATTTTTAATGTGTGAGTTGTAGTGAAAAGCATCATCAGGTGTGCATCACACATGTTCCTCCTCATAAGCGTATAAAAGCATCCCAGAATGCACCTGATGAATGCATGAGTGATGCTGATGAGTGAACAGACCTTGACAAATCATCCGTTTACCTTTTATGCTCACAACATAATTCTCATACTTTAATTGGTCTTTTAATAGTTTTGATTAAATGCAGAAACACATTAATTTTATCACGTGATGGCCCAATAATTAAACAAATAAGCAGAAGAAGGGTTAAAGATAAAGCCTTATGTGGAGGTGTGTTCACGCGCCGCTGCAGAATAATACACACATCAGCACTTTAAGAGACTCGCTGCTCGGCTTAATTAGAAAGCGGCCATTTATTACCCAGGAGATCAATTGGAAGAACGCAGTCGTTTATGGAGAAACGAGCCGCTCATTCCAGCTCCAGACGCACCGCTTCCTCGTCCTTGAGACCAAAGCCAATTAAAGACGGCGCAGACGAGAGGCAGGAGCACAGATGTGTTGAAAAGCTTTTAGACACACAGGATATTCTCACACATTAGCATAACGCATAACCAATCACAGCTCTGAAACTCTCAAACCGTCACGCTCTTCAAAACACAGTAAAAACGGAGTAAAAATCACACCTGAGAGTCGATCTGCCACTGCAACTGCAACTGACCAATCACATCCAGTCAACATTCTGACATTCACCATCATCATTAATATACATGCTGTAATGGTTGAGCTACAGGAATATCGATCCATAAGTGGCTACTTTTAAAATTCTCTTTCATGTTCCACGGAAAAATAACAAGTTTGACTTTTCGGAATTTTCACTTTCAAATTCGAAAAAGTGAACATTCCGAAAATTCGAACTCGTCATTTTTCTGAGTTTGTCCAGATTTTATGAAGGGTAATTTAAGACTTAAAGACCAAGTAACGGAAATTTAAGAAATAAATTGGAGGGAACACAATACATCAATATGTTCTCTAAATGTACATTTTTTAAGGAGAAACACTTTAAAGTTTCAGAGTCAGTAACAAATATCTGTTACTTTTTAATTCATTTTACTGGTTTTGCTTAAAACCACTAAAATATGGAAATCATTATTACTGTTCCTTCTGATCAAACTGCAAAAAAGTGATGTTTTTCCTCATTTTTTCACTACAGATTCCTATATCAAGATACATTTACTTCAGATGTAAAATGACAAAATCTTGTTTTTTTGTGAAATTGATCAAAATGAAATGAAGTGTTTATGCTTAAAACAAGAACAAATATCTGCCAGTGGATTCTGCTTAATTCTGCTTAATTTAGAGCTTTTGAAAAATATTTGTTCTTGTTTTATGCATAAACTTTTTCAAGACTTAATTTTACATTTGTATCTCCTGTAATTTAAACTTGTTTAGATATTTGTACTGGAAAACAGGACAAAAATACTGAGGAAATGCAACATTTAACGCCATGACTTTCTGCTCTGTTCTAAGACCATTTTAAGGCCTTAATTTGTGACTTTAACACTCGCAGAAAGCCTGTTTTTCAATTTTCCTCGAACTGACCATGAATATACATCATCAAAATGCAGAACGTTATTGGAAGCCAAAACATGCTGACTATTTAGAAGAGAACCCAAGTGCACACTATGATTTCAGGCCACATCCTGCGAGGCGTACATGTGTGTGTGTGTGTGTAGAGGCTCTATGAAATGAACAGAATCAAAGGGAGGAAACGAGGCAGAAAACGCAGAATGCTAAAGTACAAACTGGAGCAAAGTGCCATTAAAGCCTCCCGAAACTGCTCTGAATCAGGAACATGCAGTATTGAACACGAGTGTGGTTTCTCAGATGCACTGACCGGTCTCTGTGAGGTTCAGAAGTGTGCAGGAATACGGGTCTTCACGATCCTCTGGAGCGACCGCACAGCCATGTTCGCCCACGATGAACTTCACCATCACCCTTTCACATATAATAATAAACATCAATACATGATTCTGTAGTAAAATCACTCATTTGTGACACCGACTAGCAAGTGCAACACTACTAAGGGTGTAACGTCAAATGTAATATAATAGCTATTTTGGCTATTTTACAGAGGCTTTTTAATATATATTAGCAACTTTTATTCTCGACTTGACTGCATTTTTGCGTACTCTTTATTCCAATACTTTTCTCACTCATTTCATTTTGCACGGCAACTCACTTTTTCTGCATCAGTTTATTTCTGGAAACTTATTTCACCCAAAATCATCAACAAGGCCACTGAAGTGAATGAGTGCATTAGCAGGTCGTTGTGTTTCATATATCCAGTGCAATTAGGCTTTGATTATTTAATTTGACTTCTTTATCCGTTATATCCAAGAGACCTTTTGAAGGATTTTGCTTTACTTTGCTCTTTCTGAGCACTTGAGCTCAACTAAGTCTTTGTAGGCGTTTAAGAGGCTGTTGTGTCGACCTTGATTTACTGCAATATTGAGGTTTTGTTTTTAGAAAATGAATGTGTCATTGCTCTCCTCACACAGGTTTCTTGTTTTCACTGGCATTTCTCTCAGGTTTTGAGAGTAAAATACTTCAGTACTGATAAACTCAGATACTCCAAGGACCGGTTTCACAGACAGAGTTTAGATTAAACCAGGATTAGGCTTTAGTTCAGTTAGGACATTTTATAAACGTGTATTAAAAAACAACATTACTGGTGTGCATCTTGAGACAAATCAGTGGCACTGATATATTTTAAGATACACTTTCAGTTAAAACAGATCAAACGTGTATTTTAGACTGAGACTAGACTCAAGCCTCGTCTGTGAAAGCGAGGATAAGACTTTTACTCGAGTCAGATTGGGATTGGAGACTTTCAAATCAAGTCACCTTTATTTATATAGCGCTTTTTTTACAATACAGATTGTATCAAAGCAGCTTCACAGAGATAACATGAAAATAATACAACAAAAAAATACAAACTTTCACGTTTTCACTGTACTCTTTACACCAGTCTTGAACACTGAATGTTTATTTGTTATTTATTATCTGATCTTTTGCATCGATTTTCAAATAAAAAGAGAAAATATTCAAGTCAGATTTTCAATCGTCATTTTTGTAAAGTATTTCATTCACTGACTGTATTAACCAATAGGCATACTCACATGGTTATAAAACATAATTACAAATTAAGTAATGAAAACATAAATAGAATTACATATTCACATTTTTAGAAACATAATTACCAATTATTAAACAAGAATAAATTAAATATTTTTTTCCAGCAAAAACAACTGTCATGATAATCGTAAGACTGTAAAATTACAAATTAGTGACAACATTTTATATATATATATATATATATACATAACCAGTCAAAAGTTTGGAAGTTTTTAAAAGACGTCTATTATGCTCATCAAGGCTGCATTTATTTGATCAAAAATACAGTAAAAAACAGCAATATTGTGAAATAATATTAACATTTCAAATAATGGTTTTCTATTTTAAATATACTTTAAAATATAATTTATTCCTGTGATCAAAGCTGTATTTTCAGCATCATTACTCCAGTTTTCAGTGTCACATGATCCTTCAGAAATCACTCTAATAGGGAAAGTGTTTCCACTAAATGGAAACAGTTGTACTGCTTAATATTTTTTTTTATAACCTGTGATATAATTATATAGTACAATGCAAAAGTCTAAGGCACGTTAGTATTTTCAATAGTTTCAATAGCTACTTTCTTTAGTTCAAATGGTTTTAAGTCAGTTATTTGTATCTTTTGCTGCAGGAAATATCAGTTTACATTTCCAAACATTCATTTTGCCATTAACTGTAATAATCCAGTGAGATTTTTGTATGCACAAGGAGTCTGACAACAGCCGGCATGATCTAAACTCATCATCATCGAGTCCGTCTGGGATTACATGAAGAAACAGACAGACGAAATCCAGAAGAACTGAGGCAACGCTTGAAGAAACCTAATGAGCTTTTGTCGGAATGATGTTTAAATGTGGAATATTTTAAGGATTTTTATAAGGTTCGATAAAGGTCTCAGATCAAGCACTCAATTTTTCAGTCAATAACAAAGCCTGATCAGTGGCGGCCTTAAGCATTTGGGGTTTCAATAACTAACATGGGGCCCTACCCACATAAAACATAAACATAATAGAGCATAAAAAGAGAGGATTCCTGTTGGTTTGCATCAATGGTATATTATTTTATCACGTGCACTTTCAGCTTCATGAACAGGCAGCTCAACATAGAAATAATCCAAACTTATTTGATTAAAACTACATACAATTATACAGCGTTTTACGTTGGAATAAGCCTCGCCCTTTCACGCAGAGTAACTTCACTTTTGGTAGACTGAAGCTTTTCTTTTGTTGTCCGATATCTTTCGTTTTTCAGCACCACTGGCATATGTACGTTTCATTTCCTCTTAAAATTATTTTCCTGCTCAAAATAACATTTTACCCTAATGGCAAAAAAGGCAAAGGTATAAATACATAAACTACAAATATTATACTTCAGATCCAACGTCGCCATGGTAACCGCGAGTTCGACCAATCAGAGACGCCAGTGTTTTGCTTAGAATTGTGGGTAGTGAAGTATTTCTCCAGAAGATCTCAAATAACACAGTTGATTTCATACCTTGTGGCTTTTATAGGAGCAGAAACTTTCGTTTCACAACCTCGTAGTCAATCTATCTTGAATGGTTTAGACATTATGGCTGAAAATAGGGCTGGGAAAAAAATCGATTTGATTTAAAAATTGAGTTGAGTTGGTAGGTCAAATCAATTCATATAAAAAAAAATAGATTTTTTAGATTTTTTGTCTCCCCTCTTCAGTATAGCGTACAAACATTTTGCATTCGCCAGATCTTCCTTCAGGGTGCCACCGGTGTTACTGTTTACATGTTCAATTCAACTAAGAGTTACCTCAGGTTTTTTGTTGTTTTATTAGCTCAATCCAAATACAGTATAAATAATTAAGATGTTTAACAATCTTTGTTGCACACTGCACAGTGACTTTTCAGTTAGAGAAAGCGTTTGCCTTTGCAATTTTGTTTATGTTGATGCACTTTAATTAAAGGTGCATTGCGCAAGTCTCTGAGTTTTTGCAGAACTACGCCCCCTCTGGCGACAAGCGAAACTGCAACCAGAGGTGTGCACGCTCATGGACCACACACACACACACACACACACACACACACACGCACGCTTGCACGAGCTGTTCATAACCAAAGGAGCATCAGCCGCACATATCTTTTGTTTACAGTCATAATGTCCTCAGAGCTAATAAAGTTATAAATCTGCAAGTCATTTTAAATATATGAAAGGAAAGGCATTTGAGTAAATTACACACTTATGTGCAGGGTTCGAATTATGATTTCATCTTTGTGGGGGTCTCTTTAAAGAAAGAAAAAAAAGTAACCCATGAGCAGGCGTGGTGTATGTGATAAATAAATAGCTAAATACTGCACTTCATTATTTTGAGTTCAACGTACGTTTCTTAATACAGGTGTAGAGAATATTTGGGTGGAGTTCGTTACCTCTAGGGGGGTCTGGGGGCATGCCCCCCCAGGAAGAAAATTTTGTACATTTTAAAGATAAATTCATTAATCTGCTGCACTTTGAGTCACCCGAATCTGCTGTTAAAAATAATCCAACCGCCCAAACATATGATATTCTTTGATTTAGATCTGCATCTGATCATCATTACAATTTTTCAAATTCTCAATGTTAAGCATGATAATATGGTAAAATATCACACTGAAGTAGGCTGATTTAAAATTAACTTTTTATTTAAATTAAAAGTTATTCTTTGGCCAAAATTACATTTCCTTAATATCCTTAACAGAGGCTTTTTACTCCCTTCAAAGTTAAATTGTCAATGTTTCATTACATCACTGTTGGCAAACACTCTTATCAGAATAATTTTTTTACCTTTAAAATAGGGCATTTTCCCCTCTAATTTTATGTAGCCTATGCTCCATCTTTCTTTTAAAATATTCCTTAATTTGATCAATACATTAAATCAGAATAATAAGACAGTAGGCTGTTACCAATCAAATTAAATAATTTACATTGAAAAATTACAACTGTAGTAAATGCCCTGACATGTTTTCCTTGATTGATTTTCTCTAAAGAGAATTACGTTGTTGAAAACGAAAGTAAAAGAGTGACGCTCATTGCGTTTTACCATGATAAGAGTTCCGTGTCTTTATTAAAATCAACACATTACCATGATTTATCTTTCATCCATCCTCGATTAATTTGAATGTAGGCTAATTTTTTTTATTATTTAACTCGCCCGACCCGCGCAGCACTATCGGCCAACTATACGGTTTGAGAATGGCCACAGGCCGAGTTTTGTTGAGAGCCGGAGGCGGCTGTCTCGTAATTCCATGCAGGAAAACCCTGAAAGGAGTTCGCTAAAATATTGGTGGAGGCCTACCTAGCGTCCCCCCAAATCATTTTTTTGCTAGTAGCTACTTTTGTGTATTTAAATGTCTGAAACCTAAAATAAACATTATGTGGTTGAAAACACTGAATAGTTGTGATATATTGTGTATTGAGCGCATCTGTCTCTGGCTCAGCGCCAGCCAACCATGCAGCCAGTGCGCGAAAGCACTTTTGAATTTAGCAGTTGATCACGTGATGCACTGACTGTTCTAATCACACCGCTGTGAACGTACGTGCGAAAGGGTGAACAAATATGCCTCGATTATTGAAGGAAAACGTGCTTTATTTGTAATTTAAAATGATGGTGCTGATGATTTTTAGAGCCCCCACAGGTGTAGGATTTTACTGCTTTCATGGGAGCTCATACTCTCTCTATGGGAGCTCAGCTCCCACTGGCTCCCACGTAATTCGAACCATGCTTATGTGTGAGGGGAAAACGGGGGTAATAGAAAACTTCTGTTTTTGTTTCCATCTATCTCCATGTTGAACTGTTCTTTGTGTTTACTGTATCCACTTATGATTGTATTATTATGGAAACACGTTCATGAACAATATAAGTTATTACTTTGTAAAAGCCAACTGAGGATCCCGTTTGAGCCCTAGAGCAGACCGGAGATCTCTCCATTTGTTGAAAGCCTTCCCGATGTTGACTCTCGTCTTATTCCGACGCCGGTCTGACTCCAATTTGGCCCTTTTGGTGGCACTAGACAAACGTTTTCTTTTCTTTGTCTTACGTGGAGTTTGCGTGGAGGTTGGAAATGAACTACAAGCCGGTCTCTCTGAATCCATCTTCTACTTTTGTCGAAAGTTGACTAAAGTTGTGTCGCTCGAGTTGTCTTCGCTGATACGGAGAATGGCGGCGAATACACAAACCTGCCAGACATAACCAGGTGAGCGTGAACGCGCATGACGTCACGCCCAGTCTCAAACTCCGTCCCGAATCCCTCTTATTTATTTTACTGTACAGGATTATAGAGGCAATCGCAGTGATCAGAGAAGGGCTCGTTCAGCCCATCAGGCAATTGTTTAAGCATGTATGAGTTAGAAAAACGGGTATTTTTAACATGAAATGTTGCGCAATGCACCTTTAAATAGAATAAATATATATTTTTAAAATATATTTACAGTTCGCTAGGGGTGTAACAATATATCGTGCCACAATATATCGCAATACAAAAATGCAACAATATGTATCGAGGATAATTCCCCCAAAATAAAAATTGAAAAAATTCAAGTTTACAGAGTTTTAGTGTCAGTACTACATTAAACTACTATATATACATTGTTGAATATAGTGTATAATAATGCAGTGGGGGATATTTGTGGGTCCTGATAATGCCAAATGTCTTATGTTTCCTTACATTTATTTTAAATATATCTAGTCAGTGACAGAGTGCAAGCATATTTGTCTAAAATTATTCTGTATTTTCAGCTTCAGAATCAGGAATATTGTTATTCTGGTGTCACCATTGTCCTTGGGTTTCAGCACCAAGTCCAAAACTATTCATTTAAACCCACAATGTAATATCAAATTTAGCATTTTAATCAACAGTACATTTTTTGTTAACCTTTTACCATATGTCTTGGAGTATCGCAATAATATCATATCGTGAGTTCAGTATCGTGATATGTATCGAATGAATCGTGACATAAGGGTATCGTTACACCCCTACAGTTCGCAGTTATTTTGTCTTAAATGGAAGAGGGGGAATCGAATCGTAAATCGAGTTTATAATAAAAATAAATAAAAAATAAAAAAAATATCACAGATTTTTTTAGGGGAAAAAAAAATAATCGCCCCGCTCTCGCAGAAAATCAATATCCTACGGAGAAAATGAATGGGATTTTGCTGGTCTGTTGGGCTCCCCTTGGAAGGCGGGGCCTGTTTCAATTGAAACGGGTGAAACACAGGTAAGGCTGAGACTGATCTTCTACAGTAAATCATTGTGTAACAGAGTTGTAATGATGTGTGCGGGACCGACCGTGTGCTGAAGTGCGGGTGATGTGTGATGTAGCCCAGCCATGTGTCTCTGATGGCCTGCCGGAGCTCATAATGGTGCCGAGCCGACAAAACGCCCACCAACACCTCATGCACAGCCTTCTGGTTGTCTAAAAATACAATATTTAACAGAAACACAATAATCAGCTGATATTCTCTGACACCGCGGATGTTTGAAACGTGTAAAAAGGCTTTCTGGCAGGTTGAAACACAGAACAGATGAAAGTCTCGGGCCCTTTGGATCCCCTAATGGTTTGTCACTTGTGTCCTATTTCACCATGTGTGACAAACATCAGAGTAAGTGTGTAATGTGCATCTGAGCCGCTGTTGCCAGGTAAATCTCTCAGATACTTTCTACACACACACACACATTCTTCCATTTGTATACGCCTTTCAAATCCGATACCAATCACTAATGCAGGCTTCATTCATTTCACATCTCAACCCCACAGAAATGAACATTAGTGATATTATAAGTCAGTTAATGCAAGCTGTTCTACATGCTTATGCTTACTATAATGTGCAATGGTCAATGCATTGAGTATTAATGTTCTTATACACTGATTATTCACGTTTTAAACGCAGTCAACATTAAAGTTATACATGCATTAGATGGTCTATACATTATATTATGCATTAAGCAGACAGTAAATTGAGCATTAATGCTATACAAGCAAAAAAGTATGAATGTTTTTATGCATAATTAATGTTCTACATGCATTTTGCATTAAGGTTACCTATGCATTAAATATAATATTTATACATTATAGTAAATAGACAGATTTTAATATGTATAGACCATTAATGCTCAATGCATATGTATATAGTATTAGTAAAAGTGGTAATGTTCTAAATAAAATATGCAACAGTTTTTATTTTTACTCATCCTCTATTTTCTATAAGAATTGAGCATTGATGTCCAATAAGCGGAGTATGAATTTTTTATGCACTGATCATTCATGTTCTAATCTACATTCATAGAACGTGCATTAAAGTTCCATGTGCATTGAACATTAATATTTCATACAAGTACATTAGATAGATAGATAGATATATAGATAGATATATAGATAGATAGATAGATAGATAGATAGATAGATAGATAGATAGACAGATAGATAGATAGACAGATAGATAGATAGGTAATTTATACCATTAACTTTCAATGTATGGAACTTTTATTTAATATATATATATATATATATATATATATATACATACATACACCAATCACTAATGCATATTACTATATATATATATATATATATATATATAGTAATTAATCTATATAAAACGAGCAATAGTTTATATATGCAGTCAGCATATTTTTAGCAGAGTTTATATGAATAATTTTTTTCTAATAGAATTGAGAATATGCACTTTTTATTTTATCTTTACACGTTCAGGTAAGTGTTCATTTTCTAAATAACCTGAGCACCAAGTTTCTATATGCATTAATATATCTATATGCATCAGCTTCATAAAAACTGATTTGCACGCATGCATTAATTGTTCTATAAGCGTTTAAATATGAATCCACCTTATGCGTCCAGGATGTGTCGAATGCAGAGGTCACGCCACAAACACTTACTCTCCAACACAAACTGCCATGCTTACAAATAACAGTGGGAACAGAATAAGAGACAGTCGAGAAGTTTCAGCCCAGCTGAGCGGTACCTGCAGAACTGAAGCCCGACAGCAGCGCGGTTCTGTCGGTCCAGCCGAGCCAGTGGAGCAGAACCGCGAGTACACACGCAAACAGCGCCGCCGCAGAGCTTCTCATGGACGAACCGACGCGTGACCGCTCCTCAGACCCGTTACCGAACACACCGGCGCCTCGACCCGCATCGCGGAGTTCTGATGAGTCTCGGACGCGCGCGCGTCATGTCTAACTGCGCGCTGATGACGACACGGCTCGGACAACCAATAGGAGTGCAGCGGTTGACGCGCTGTGCCTTCTGGGAAAGGTAGTTTTATTCAAATAAACACTGTAATTCATGTTTTTATTTAAAAAATATGTTTTAAAAATCATTATTATTATTCAATTTAATGTAATATTCAACAATATTATTGATCTGCCTGCATTGGCACCGTGTAATAATAACTGAACTGAGCTGGACGATGACATCACGGTTTTCTCCAGAGTGGCTATTTAGCTATATATAAATTGACAACTTTTTTATAACAAAAATGAAACATCACTGAACTTACTTAAGCTGGACTGTGACGCTATTTTCGTCTAGAAAGAAACTTTGTTGCGTTATTTTCCTGTTATCTCTGTGAAGCTGCTTTGAAACACTCTGTATTGTAAAAAGCTCTATAGAAATAAAGGTGACTTGACTTGATTTATTTTATTGCAGGAAAAGAAACACTGAATTAAAATACAATAGCATAAAAGGAAAAGTAAGAAAGATATGATCATAATTCTTAAGAAACTTGTTATTCTTATTGTTGTCAATGAGATTTTACAATAAGAGAAATCTCAGCAAGAAAGACATCAAATCTAGGCAAAATCTCGAGAAACTTGTTTTTGTGAATAAAAAAATGTACAATGATGAACGCTGTGATTCAAGTTTCCTGAACTTGCAATGATTACCTCAAGTTAGTGATTGCCTTTTTTTGCTGTTGATTTTGATTTGGTAAATGGTAATTGTAA